TCTCCTCTTGGAGTACCTGATTTTGTTTTTCCGGGACTAATGATAGTGCTTTCATAAGAAACTTTAAAGACAGAGAGGACATGAATTTGTGAGACTACATTTTTAGCTGCATGTCTCAATTTAAATACATTGTGGGGAACTTAAGAAAAGCTGAAAGTGGTCAGAGGGTGTGCAGAATAGGATGCTTGGGAAAAGGTGTAAGAAAGGACAAACGTAAAGTGAATGTTCCCTGAATATTCTCTTAATATCTTGCAATCTGTGACTCCAACACTCTTCATGCTGGAGACAGTATATTTGAAACTAATAGCCTCAGATGGATTTTTTCTTCTGTGAATTCTTTACTTGTGGTGATAAAAATCAGATAAATGAGGAAATCACAATAAATAAGATTGTGTTTGGAAGAGGGATGGGCAGCAGGAGAAAATGCTGAATCATGGAAACAGGAGCTGGCAATGCACAGGGAGAGGAGCTGGTGAGGAAGTGTCATGAAGTCAAAGAAAAAACATAGATGTTTGTGTCTGAAACCAGGAACCTGGTGCAAAATGAAGGAAGCTGTGGGAAACAGGCTGCCTATCAAAGGAGTGGCAGAGTAACCACGGCTGCATCCCGGGCCTGTTTCTTCTCTCATACCTTTAACAAAAATAGCCCTTTTACCTCCATGCAGATAATGCACACTCCAGTGTGAGGTGTCCTCGCTGTGCCAGCAGTGGCAGCTGATGGGTTTTGCTCTTGCTCACTGACCGAGCAGGAGGTGATGCTATTTTTGTCTTGCTTTTGACATGCAGCGAGGGAAGTGCAGAAGAGCAGCCTACAGAAAATAACTTCCCTCTACAAGGAAGCTGATTCTGCTGAACCTGGATGGAAGAGGAAAAAACGGATCGTCAGTGACAGGTTTTATTTCCAAGTGGCAAGGACTGAGAAGTTAAGGAAACTAATTACCAAAGTCAGCTGGAGCAAACTATAGGGCTTTGGCATAATGGAGGCCTGGAATTTAATGCAGTACAAGTGACAATGATTTCAAACAAGGGAGAGGTGGTGGGTTTAATATAGAAGGTAGTAGGAAAGTAGTGGTGGTTTTTGACATAAGAAGTGGTATCTGAAGTAGGAGGGTTAGATTTCAGAGATGGCTGTTGTGAAGCAAACCTGGCAACTGGAGCCCTATCTGTTGCAGACAGGGAAGTCATCATGGGGACATTTTGAAATTATATGTTTTAGAAACAGTCACGAGCATGCCAAAGGCCACCTGAGACTTCCTGCTCATGGAGCCACCTGGTAAATTCCTCCTCAACATCTGCTTCTCTGCTAGATTTTCAAGCAGGGTTGGATTTTGACTTTGGTTCAGTTGCAGCAGTGGGACTGGGGAAGCCCTTGGGCCAGTCTGTGCCAGGCTGAGCCGCAAGGCACCAGCAGTATAGCTTGGCCACCCGAGCTGCACTGCAGAGCTGAGCTGCCAACCCTGCCGCAGTTTGATTTACTGCCCCCCAAATGGCTTCCTGCAAGTTTGCCGCAGAACTTCAAAGATTGTGCTGGATGCTGCGTGTTCCTGGGGGATTTTGATTGCATGACCCATTTAGCAGCCTGTCTGGGCATCTCGCTCTGTAAAAGCTGCTGCAGCTCTTGATGGCTTTTTGAAGTTTTCAGGTGAAAAAGCAGCAGCTTTTCTTGTAGGTATCCTGCTGAGGCCTGTGTTTGCTCATTCCCAATGTATCACGAGGAAACTGTATTTTTGGTTCTACCCGCCAGAATAGGTGACAGATGATCATGTTACCACTGTACCAAGAGGCTTCAAAGCCATGTGTCAGCTGCACTAGGGAGCTGTGCTCTGCTTCCCTGCTTGCCTCCCTGCTGCTATTTCCCTGCTTTGCTCTATCTTTGGAAAATTTCCTGTGTGGCCAAAGAACTTGTCCCTGTGATTAATTATGTTAGTGGCCAAGGAATCTCCTGATCTGGGGACATGAGGGCTTTCTGTGCCTTCTCTGTGATTCAGCTCTGCCTTGGCTCCCACCAGCTCACTGCAAACCTTCCTGACTGCGGGAAGCTTTTGGATTTTGTCTCCTGGCTTCTGCAGGCACTTCTATGTGTCCTTATGAAGATGAGCCATTTGGGGGGGCCTCCAGGCCTGTTCTCACAAAGATTTCCTCAGCTCCATTCAAAACACAACGTGTGGGGGGGCTGCAAGCATGCCTGCAGTGAGGCTGCATCACAGAGCACAGATGCAATGTGGAATGTCAGAGCGGTTAATAAATGAAAAGCTATTTCATTATAGGAAATGAATGTTTAATGAGTGTGGGATGACGTCTAGACAGTCAGTCAGTGCTGGCCACGCAATCTGTGAGGAGCCAGCCCGGCCTCAGCCCTGTGCCAGGGTGAGGTTTGGCAAAGCTTGGAGCCACCACCCTGGTGGTGCCGCAGCAAGGGTCTCCTGATGCCACGTGGCTGTGGATGCCCCTCATGCCTCTCCTAAGGAGGCCATGAGGACCTGCAGCTGCAGCAGGGACTAGGAGGTGGGGGGTGGCCTGGCTGTGGGCCAGGCCCAGCCTGGAGCAGGCCCAGGGGAGCCAGCAGCACCTGGGGAGCTTAGCGTGGACTCAGCCTCTGCTGTGTGGTGGGCTCTGAAGCGCAGCTGAACTGCGGACAGCCTGCTAGCCCAGGCTAGGAGGAGAGTAGCTGTGAGTCTTTGCATCCTGGCCTGGTGAAGACACTGTTTTGTAGCTACAGTAAAGAGGCTTCAAAGACATAAATAGGCCCATCTGGGTGTCAGTCCCCAGCAGAGCCCCTGCCATGTTAGAAGGGCCAATCAGCCCCTGCAGAACCGCGATAGTGATGTGCCAGAAGCCCTGGCTGCCAGAGGGGAGAGGCCACAGCACCCTGCATCCTTCATGGCTGCCCAGCTCCTGCCCCAGGCGCAGAAGGCACTGGCTGAGCCTCTCTGCATGGAAGAGAGCAAAGACAAGAAGCTTTACTCTTCTTGGCAGTGGCAAGGAGACGGAAATAATGCATTCTGACTTCATCCCAGGAGCTGCCTTCCTGGCTCTGGGGACAGGAGCAGTGAACCGTCCCACAGCAACACTGTGCTTGCCTGAAAAATGCTGACAGGATTCGCCCCATGCCCTCATCCTGCTTTGTGCCCCCATCAGCACTCACAGCATCCTCTGCATGGGCTCTGCTCTTCCTGGAGCTGGTAATGGGGGAAATATTCTCTGAGACACATTACTGTCCCTGTAAAGCAGCAGGGATGGGACTGGTGCTGCAGGACTTGGTGCTGGGTCTCTGGGCCCAGGTCACTGCACTGTGCAGGATGAGTGGCACTTGGCTCTGGGGGCTTCTTTGTCATGCCAGGGGGCTCACATGGCACAGTGTCCTTGGAGATAAGGCAGCAACTGCACCTTTGTGCTGAGAGGGGTGGAAAAAAAGAATAAAATAAATATAGGTTTGCTTTCCCACAAATGGAAGGCAATGCAATCTCTTCCCATGGGACATTTCACTCCACCTTTCTTGAACCCAGGGATTTCTTCAGGGTGGACACCTACAAACAGCTCTGCCAAAGGCCTGGGAGCTCGAGGCATCAAATATCCCCTCTTGGGGGCTTAGAGGGCTGGTGGCACCTGGGGCATTGGGTGAGACCAGGAGAGGGCTGGTTTATTTTTAAAGGGTTTTCTTTTGGTTTTCAGTCTCTTCCAGTCATGTTTTTCCTCCCTGATGTGCCAATGCATTTCTATACAGGGGTGAAAGGTTGGGAGAGGCTGCTTGCTGTGCCCGGCTATGCCGGGGGTTTTGGCACAATGGACTTTGTGGCACTGGTCTCCTGTGCTTTTTCTCTGATAGAAGTGATCAAGAAGCCAAGAATAGTCTTGTTCAAAAGTGTGATGAGTTTTACCCAGTCTCAGACTTCCTAGAGCTTATCAACATCCTTGTGCTGTGAGCTGCTTATATGACTTGCTGCCAGGAAAGCCTGGGAAGTGTTTATTGGCACTAGCAAAGAATTCCTGGGTCCTGTAAGACTGGTCTGGCTGCTGGGAGAACATCTGTCTAGGTCTTCTCGAAGTCCATGGCTTGCTGCTGCCATATGGCAGATGTGAAGCAATAGCTTGGCTCTGAGCTTTGCTAACACATAAAAATACTTTCTGGGACCCTGCTTCGGCAGCAAGCCTGCGGCGAGCTGCTCTGTGCAGGAAGCAGTAACCACAAGCTATATATACAGCTCCCAGCAGAGCTGCTGCTGCTTTTGATGTGACAAAATTAAGGTAGTATTTTGCAAAGAAATCCGGCATGTTGCCTTCTTCCGGAGCCAAGGCTGTCACAAGGAGGGCAGAGCCAGGGCCTGGCTCCCAGGCAGGTTCCTGGGCTAAACTGTGTGGCTGGCTTGGGGAGGGGGGTGAGGAGGTCTCTTTGCCTCCAAGAACCACACAATACCTGGTCCCTGAGCTGTAGGGAGGAGCACATGTGTCTGGTGTGTTGTGGCATGTGCTCTTGCTGGCTCTGCTTGCGTTTATCTGAGCTGGTTTAGGTGGTATGATGTCAAAACGCAAGCAGCTGGAAACAATGTCAGGGTTTGGGCTTTTTCCCCAGATGCAAGTTGAGACCCTGATGCAGCCCAAGACTCTCTGCAGGGTGACCAGTCCCACCGGTCCAAGGGGAGGCACTGGGTGATGGAACCATTTGTAGAGGGGTGCCAGAGTTCAGTGTGCCCTTGATAGCAATCTCCCTGACTTTCCACACTGCTAGTAGGGCATACATCTCCTTGAATCTGGAAAAGCATCTGCAAGTACCCAGCTATGGCCATTGCTCCTGCTGTCCCCAAAGGACATGCAGCCCCTCTCTTCCTCCTGAAATCAGCCTCCAAGTCTCAGTCTGCTGCTTCACTGCCTGCACCGTGACCCTGCTGGCCTCCCAGTGAAGCTGGGCTGAGCTTGCTGTGGGGCCAGGGAGAGCATGCAGCCATGGCCTCCTCGTCCAGGGGAGGTGAAGCCCTGCCTTGCCTCTCCCATGCTGTTTTGCAGAGCGGGGCTGACTACAGCTTCCTTGTGAGCCAGAACACGAAGCTCCTGAGTGCACTGGAGGACCTGCAGCACCGCTACTCTAGTCTCATGGAGGAAAACAGCTTGCTGGTGAGCGGAGGATGCAGCCTGGTCAGGCACTGGGTTGGCTCAAGGAACACCAATGTGGGGTGTGGGATTCTCCATGGGGAGGGAGCCCTGTTTGGGGCGAGCTGCCGTTGGCCACCAGATCCAAGAAATGCTGGTACGTGAGATCAGCTGGGGAGGGCGTGGGGGAAAGAAAAGGGGGCCTGGGTGCCTTGTGTGCCCTGGGTGCCTTTGCACTGCACCTGCTGTTGGCTCGAGCAGGACCCCTTCCTCGTGACCTGCTGCTGCCCTCCCTGCCATCTTTGTCCTGCGTTATTTGCCTGCTGGAAACCGCAAGAGGCTTTTCCGCAGCTGCCTGCTAGGGCTGGCAGAGAGCAACACAGCCGTGAGCTGACAGCGGGGAGGGGGAAGTCACTCTTGTTTCCTCTTTAAGGGAAAAAGCAGAAACACTGATTCACTTCACCCTGCTCTGGTGACAGCACAGCACTGCCCCCTGCTCCTGTGGGAGCTCAGCACCCAGCTCTCCAGCTGCGCCCCTGGCACCCAAAGCCACAGTGTGGGCTGCCCCATTCTGCCCAACTTCCACATCCTTGGCTCCCCTAGCCCATGGTTGGCAGCCAGGAAATAAGAAGAGGAGATGCTCCCCCCCCCTCACCAGAGCATATCCCTGCCTGTAAAGCCCTGCAACGTGGGGATGTAGCCACCCTGGGTTTGAGTACCCCACAATGCTGGCAGGGCTGCATTGGTCCAACCCTATAAACTTTCAGTTCCTGATCTGAGACCATGACCATAGAGGCCCCCAAAAGTTCAGGTCCTTCCACTGCTGTGGTCCAGCCACCTGCTCAGCATGTTCAGCATGCTTCAACAGCCTGGACCTGTGTGGCATCAGGGCTTGGCTAGGCAGTGCGATGGGTACTGCTGCCAAGACACAGGCAGCAGGATATGCTTCAGGAACAACCTCCTTGTTCCTGCTGGGAATGGGGTTCATCAGCAACCCTGGCTCTGAACTACAATGTGCAGAGGGAGAGGACCTTGCATTACACATCGTCTGTGCACCTTTGGAAGTGTATGGCCATAATGCCATCCTAGGCAAAGGTGCTTCCCATTTCCTAATGTAAATGTCATAGCAGCTTCATATTTCATGTGTCACCACTGCTGTTTGAAAAGGATTAGAAGGTGTAAAAGAGTCTGAGAAATATACAGTTCAGGTTGATTTTTTCTCTTCAAAATGCCCTTGAAAATTTGATCACTCAATATTTCAGATTTACATCACCAAATTCAAAACAGATTTTAGATAATTTTCCTACACTAAAAGCATACATCCAGTATGCCCTGCAGGCTCAGGGGGTCACCCATTAGCATTCATGTGGATTTTAGCAAAGCACTGTCATATAAGCTCTCATCAAATCTTACTCTCAAAAATCAGCCTTGGTCTTCCAAATGAAGATAAGCAAATAAAACAGTGAAAGCAGCAAGTGCATGTGGTGGGATCTCACAGGGATAGTGAAGAAAATAAGTGAAAGGATCAGCTGACCTGACATTTTTGCTGATGTGAAAAGACAGCACAACACATCTGGGTACGACCTTGAGAGAACAAGCCATCGGCAAGCAGCAGCTTATCGAAATGGACAGATAACAAATAAAAGGGGATTAAGAGCAAACAGAATCAATAGAAAGGAAAAGGAAATTTGGTTTGCAAACATCATAAAGTCCTTGGCTGATTTCTCCCCATTGCCCTCAGCTTATGTCTCAGTGTCAGGAGGGCAAGGAAAAAAGCAAGCAAAGTTTGGGGTGTAATGTGGGGTGTAATGCAGCGCAAATCCACAGTGATGTGTTGAGTACTGAAACAGCAGGGAAATGTACTGGACAGGCTTTGGAAGGGAAAGCCCAAAGGGCCAGCAGCCAGGATAGACTGATTCTGGTGATGTGCTCAGTCCCATCCAGCAAAGGCAGAGCCTGCAAAGAGCAGAGAGAGCGACAGACAGGCTGCAGAGATGGATGGACTGGGGTGGGGCAAGGGGCTTCTTGTTTAAGAGGTCAAGTTAACAAAAATATCAGGAAAAGCAGAGGTTTCAGTGACTGGAGAGGAGACGAGTGAAGGTCAGTGTATATCATCTGGGACAGCTGTACAAGAACAGGCCAAGCCCTGGCTGGGGAGAGCCCGGTGGACACAGAGTGGGTCAGGCAGGGCAAGGGACCTCTGCTACCTCTGACATCCTCAGTGGCAGCTTCAAGCATGGGTGCATGGGGAGACTGAATAGGGTTTTCAGGTCAATCCTTCTGTTATCCAGCGCAGGAGCTGCTTCCCTGAAACAGAGGAGAAGGTTAAGCACCTGAAGAGGAAGAACGCAGAGCTGGCGGTGATCGCCAAACGCCTGGAGGAGAGAGCCCGGAAACTCCAGGAGGCAAACCTCAAAGTCGTGAGTGTTGAGCCTCTGCATTGCTGAGTTGGGAGGCTGGGCTAGGAGAGCACCTCACCACTGGCACTTCTTGCTTGCTACTTTTATAGGAACAGAAGGCCCTCTTCTTTTCCCTTTCCTTAAACCAGGCAAGGCCACATGGCAGTCTTGCTTTGTACATCTATAACAGGGCAGGAATCACAAAACTGAGCTGAGGGGACAGCCATCACCAGCTTCTACTTATGCTTGGGGAGCTGGTTTTGAGCAATTTCCTCCTAATTGGTTTCTTGCTGTAAATGTGCCATCCTAATGTAAGGTATTAATTTAGGTAATTAGCTCAGCTTTCCCTGGGCTAGTCATAAAAATAATTCATCTGACTTCACCGAAAAGAAACAGGAAGTATTTGAATAAGAAAAGGAGTGTGGTAAGGCAAAACAGGAAGGGGTGAGATACTATGTTCTGCCCCATCCACACCTCACTAGCATTTTTGTGCAAGCTGTGTGTTTTTTCTTTCTCAAACGGAAGAGCAGTTTGTTAGAAACCCTATAGTTTCTGATACAGTGCAGGAGTGGTGGGAGATGGCTGAAGGACATGGGATTTTGCAGACAAACATTTGCATGAGCTACCTAAAGGTAGCTTGTAGCAGCGTAAGGGAAAATCTTTCTCCCATTTGAATGAAACCTTTTTTTTTTGGGGTGGGGGGGGGTGGGGGGTGGGGGTGGTGGTGTGGGGAGGAGTGGGGGGAATTCAAGCCCTTTAGGATAGAAAGGAGAAGTGAAAGCTTTGCTGAAGAGAAGGTAGGGGATTTTCCTGATATTGCCTGCCCTCGCTGTCCCCCGGCACCACACTGTCCCTCTGCCACAGGATTTTGGTACTTGCAGTGTAACAGTTGCTGCCAGATGGACTTGGCAGATACTGTGCTGAGAGAAATCATTTGCTATGCATCTAACAGCTATGCAAACTCTCCAGCAACTACACAAGTACCATTTCATTATTTTTTTTTCCAAGTGAAACTTTGGGGTGGCTGCTGTTTGAGACCTGGGTGAGCCCTTGGAGAACCAACTGGCTGGCCCAGGTCTCCATGCAGCTGAACACTTGGGTGGCCAAGGTTTGTAGAGAGGTGGGCCGGAGGTAGGACCAGGCAGCTGTGTGCCCTGAGGAGCTGGGGTTAATCTGGCAGCAGTTGGCTTCCATAACTGGTACACAGGTCCTGGGGAACCAGCTCAGTGTGCAGCTTCTGTGTGTGGGCGAGGTGCTCAGAAAGACCTGGGGAGAAGTTTGCACAGAGGATGCCCTGATCCTGGTCAGGGAGGGGAGGGAGTCCCTCCTTGTAAGTTTTCCAGGTTTTGTTCAGAGAAAAACTGCTGGATGAGAGGCAGGGTGTGATAAACCTGGGGATGAGACATGGCCTCACTGCCCAGAGGGCTGGGATGCACAGGGATGTGTGAGCTACCCACCCACTCAGCAGTGCTGGTACCCCATGGGAGAGCTGGCCCTAGGGATGGGGGCCAGCTAGGGATGGGGGCAGTGCTGAGACCTGTCATCCTGGGGAGACTGCAGCTGGGCAGCATCATGCCCTGCCCAGGACCTCTACTCAGAGGCTGTGCCCAGCCTTTTGCCCATCCCCTTTACTCCCCTTGTAGTCCCCCACAACTTCCCACTCTTGCTCTTCCCTCCCTTCCAAGGGAGTGCGTGAAGCTGAACTGCTTCTTCGGCTGAACATCCCATCTTCCCCCAGCTGTGCTGGCCCTGACTGGGCTCTCTCTTGCCACTCCCCTTTGCCTGTATTTTCCACCCATGCATGCTGAAGCTCTTCCCCCTTGCCTTTCAAGGATTCCATAAAAGCCCCATTTCTCTTGCTGTCTTGGCTGCCTTCACTCTTGCTCCCATGCTCATCTTTCCTGCCACCCTCCTCTCCTTTCTGCTGTCCTCTCTTATCTTTCAGCCTTTATTGTGGCTTTCTCCTCCCCACAGCTGCTGCTGCCCTGTCTGCAGCCCTCTGTGCTGACTATACATGCATTGGCCCAGTCTGCTGAGCACCTTCTCCCTCCCACCTCCTCTCTGATCCAATTCTCTAAGAAGCCTTTCCTCTTTCCTCCCACTTTTCTATACACCTCTTGTTCTCCCGTCTGTCTTTCCATACACCTCTTGTTCTCCCCTTTTGGGGCTAGGCTGCCTGATGGTAGTTGGGGTGGTAGTTGATCAACACCAATGTATGTGGCTTTCTCTCTTGCTGCTCTCTCTGGTATAGGTAACTGCTCCGGTGCCTCTAAAGGGTTCCAGCCTGGAGCTGTGTAAAAAAGCATTTGCCTGCCAGCGTGCCAAGGACCTGACAGAGCAAGCCAGTGCTCTCCTGGCGAAAGACAAGCAGATTGAAGCTCTGCAGCAGGAGTGCCGGGAGCTGCAGGCTAAGCTCATTGCAGGGAAGGTGAGAAACTTCTGGGACATCATGCAGTGGCTGGGTAAAAACAGTGCAGTAACAATGCTGGGAACCACGCTCCAGCAGTGTGAGAAGGACAGACTGAAAACAGAGCATTTGATGTGTGAGTTGGTATGGGAGAAGTTGGGTAAGTGTGTGGCCAAGATGGGGTCCAGACCCCTCCAGAACAGTATGTTGGGGGATACTCCAATTCTCACTTCATGAATTCGTGGGTCTGTGCTGCCATTTTCAGCAGTGACCTAAAAGTCTCCCCCTGGAAAGCCCCCAAGAAGCCACAGATACAGGATGACCTTTCACAGCGCTAAACTTCAAGTGAGATGTAGAAGCAGGACTTCCTTTTAAGACATTCCTTTAAAAAGTAAACCAGCTGAGCACATTCCCAATAACCACTCTGAATCTCATGTCCTCAACCGCAGCTTTCTGAGTGCTTACAGCCACAGTAGTGCATATTTGTGGATACAAATCCCAAGATGAGGGTTTGTGTCCATGAAACCATCTACAGTGCTGATGCCTACAACAAGGCTGGTTGCCTGCATTCCCTTTAGCACTAGCACATAACTTGCTGAAATAACAGATGAGATAAAACGGTTAATTCAGCTCATCCTGAGGTATCTAAAAACTGCTTGGATGTGTCATTCCCTCGAAGCACCTATTCTCTGCAATGGCTCTGAAAGGAGCCTCTGCAGACATATGAAGCTAGATAAAACAGTTCTCACTCAAGATGACTAGAGCAATCTGTTCTGCGCATATCAGGTATGTCTTTTGTTCCTAAGCTGGAAACTTTTGGTGTAGGTCGGTTAACAAACTCTCATTCTCTCTTTTTCACCAATATGGTTGTGGTCAAGTGCAGCGCTATGTTCTTGCACCCAGCTGAGCTGAAAGAATACTTGCATTTCTACTTACTCTACCTACAGTAATACTGAGGTGACAAATACTTCCTTGCTGAAAGCAGCTTTATTTCATTCCCTGAGCTCTCCATATGTTTGCTTTAACTGCATGTTTGCAGGTAGATTCTTCCTCTTTCCCTAATGTAGGTCTAGTCAGGACAAGAATAATTGGGTGGTGTTTGCTCTTTGTAAAGAGCTGCCCCAGTGATCCCTTCTGGCATTAAATTAAACAGGAGAAAGTTATCCAGGTCTGCATGTGTCCTACAGTCTCATTGAGAACAAATTTCCTTCATGTCCTCCTGACTGCTTGCTGCAACCCCCACAGAAGCAGGAACAGCCTATCAAAGCTGTCTGATTTTCACAGCAGAGCATGCTGAGCAACCAACCTGAATCTGCCAGGGATAGGAAAGTAACAAACCACAGAAGAATGTGACAAAGACAGGAGAGCAAGACTTGTTAATGGCCAAGGAAATACACATTGGTGTAATCCTCAGGGTTGATTTCAGCTTCTGCCTTGCTACGGCCTGGGTGACAACACTGGCTGGGAAGATAGAACCACCTGTTTAACCTGCCAAGGTACCAGCAATGGAGGGCACCAATAGATGAGCAGGGAATCTGCAGAGAAAAATTGCTGGAGATAAAATCATTCCATCTGATCTTGTTTTTCCCATTTCTCTTCCAAGCAAACTGCTCATTAAATTTTAATTCTCAGCTAGTTAAAATTCAAAATTCACCTAATCTGTCTGTAGCATGCAAAATGCATTATGCCAGTGAAGGGGTTTATATGCAGAGATATTATGTGCATGCTCAGAGTTTGTAACCAAATCAATTTTAATCTAGCATACTTAATTCCGCACAAATTCTTCAGTAGCTATGAAATGGATCTGCTCAGTTCCTTTCCACTGGCAAGACAACCTGCACACCGGACTGCAAAAGCATTGCCCTTGTTTTGCAAAATTAGGGCTCTCAGGATAAAATGATTTCCTGAGATCATTCTCCAGTGATGGGTTTCCAACCAAGCCCTAGCACCAGCTCTCAGCAGACTTCAATTTCTTGCAGTGGAGATTCTTGGAAACAAGGAATTTCAGGGAATGGCAAGGCAGCTGCAGGGAACATGCATAATATGAGGGGAAATCTGAGCTTTTTTCTACTCCCTTGTTCCCCAGGCTGTGGAGGCTTTCTGTTGATAATAGCTGCCTTTTTTTTTTTTTTCTTTCTTTTTTTTTGGTGGGGGAAGGGAGTTTTTTGCAGCCACAGTCAATTTTGTTTAAAGAACTATACCCTGATAGCGTGTACATGGGAGGGCCCAGCTGCTTGCTTCTTAAATCTGTAACCAGTTCCCATTAATGGTGCCTCAGTTTCCCCCTTGTAGCTTGAGAGCAATTACGTTTTTTGACTACAATTGCATTTGCGAAGCACACACTATTTTTAGGGTGTATAAGAAGTGAACAGGGAAGCAGATTAAATTTGTCTTGGATACCAATTATGTATTGAATTCACTGGCTTAGGAGGTTTCCAGGGGAATGAGCAATGTCTCCTTCAGCAGTGTATTTGTAAAGACAGGTTTTCATAACCAGCTTTTGTATGTATGTACAGACATGCAGGTACATGTTTTTTCAGCTTCCTGAAATCTGTAAAAACCTGTGAAGAATTAACAAAACTGGTGATACATGCACACCTTTTTTTTTTTTTTTGTGAGAATAAAATTTGCACTGGTTTCCTTTAAAAGCTGCTGGCTGTAGGTCCAGAGTGACCACTTGTGCTGAAGATAGTAGCCCATCTATCCCTCTCTGATGAGGTTAGAAATCAAGAATGTTTAAAAAAATAAACAACAACATCCTGAGTTAGAACTTAACAAGTCTCAGATATTCTTCATTATTCCTAGCATTTAAAAACCTAACCCACCATGCATGCATAGGGCTGCAGAGAATGCCAGCACTCACAATAAAGGGAACCAGCCGAGGCTCTTGTTTTGCGGGGAAATGAGATTTTATTATCCTGACACGCTCTCTGCTGGCAAATACTTAGAAAACACATGCTAGGCCCTTTTTAGTATAGCTTTGCACTGGGATACTTGTAGAAGCATTACAGGCTAGTTTTCATCTGTGGGAGAAATAACATATTGAAATAAGGGATGCAAAATGACTGTTTTTGAGGCTTTGGAGATGCAGGAAACTAAAATCTTTGTGTGCTACATTACCTGTTTTTGCTGCTAGTTATTTGGTAACACTTTCGCAGTTTGTGTGTGAAATCACCACCGTGACCTGCTCCACCTTTTCAAGCTTGGCAGTGATACACTGCTGGGTTTGCGTTTTCTGCAGGATGACCCTTGCTGCCTAAACGTTGTTGAGTTTGATCGGCTGCTGCGGGAGTCCCAGAAAGAAGTGCTGCGGCTGCAGAGACAGATTGCTCTGAAGAATTTCAAGGAGTGCCTGCGTTCCTCTAAAACCAGTTCAGGCAGCTCTTTGCCAAGTGCCACCACCTGCCTGGGAGCAACACTAAATACCTGCATCAAAGACTCACTTCTACCAAAGGAGGCCCGCTCGGGAGACCCAGTGCTAAGAGTGGAAGCACACAGGAAGGTGAGACAAGTGGGTCAGCAAGCGAAAAGTCTTGTGATTTCGTTACTGAATTAAACAATGTTCTCAGGAAGCCTGCAAAGAGCACATGAGCGCTGCACTCAACGTTGGCTGTGCTCGTTTTCAAAGTGGCCTGCCCAAGCACCAAGCGTCGCCTAGCAAGGGGACGGTGGCCGCTGCCGGCAGCCCCCCCCCCCCCCCCCTTCGAGGGCTCCGTGGCGGTGGAGCAGAGCGCCCTTTAGCTCCGGGCCTTTGCCCCCCGGGCTTCGCCTCACGCCCAGGCCGCGCTGAGCAGGGTCCGGGCCGCCCCCCCGCGGCCGCAGTGGTACGGCCCCGCTAAATCCCCGCCGCGCCGCGCTGCCGGCAGGTAAGGCCGGGCCTCCCGCGGCCACCCGCGCCGGGCCGGGGAGCGACGAACGGGGCCCGGGGCGGGTCCGGGGCTCCGCCGGGCAGCAGCTGCCCCGCGGCGCGGCCCGGTGCCGCTGGGCCGGGGCGGCTCAGCGCGGCCCGGCCCGGCCCGGCCCGGCCCGGCCCCTCTGCTGGGGCCTCCGCGGCGGGGCCCTGCTGCCCGCGGGCCCGCTGTGGGCAGCGGCGCTTCCTGGCGGCTGCGGGGGCGAGAGAGACGCTCCGCGGGCGAGGCCGGGGCCGGCAAACGGGCTCGGCCCGTCGGGGGGCCCGGGCCCGGGGCCGCGGCAGGAGGAGGCCGGGCCGAGCCGGGGATGGCACCGCGGGGTCCTCCGCCACCTGGTGGATTTATCTGCTGGGGCTTCCTCCGATTTCTGATTGAATTTTTCAGTACCCGCAGTGTCCTGGGGCGGAATTTCGCGCCCGGAGTCTGTGTGAGGAGCGGCTGCTCTGAACTGCCAGCTGCTCGCGGGTATTGCCCCGCGGTTGTACTGAATGCACTGAATATTCATTTAGTGTTCATCTTTTCCAAGTGACTTGTGACCTTTCTCCTGTATTCCTCCAGCCACTTTTTGTTTCTGTACTGGTGGGTTCTAGCCTCTTTCATTACTCAGCGTTGATCATCTTTGTCTCCTTTCTTTGTACATTTTCTCTACTGTTTTTGTGTTGGGGGAAGCACTGCAGCATGCAGTATCCCAGAGGCTGTCACTGATTTATAGAGCGACATAATGAAGTTTTCTCTCCCTTTCCTAATACATCTCTTTGCCTGTTTGTGTAAGCTTTGGGTTCTATTAAAAGATCATTTCTGTAATGCCACACTGTAATCTCCCAGTGTCATGAGACTCTTTTCACCGTTTGTGTCAATGCAGCATCAGTTCTTGGGCAGCACAGTTCCTGCTGCTTCTCCATTAGTCTTCTTATTTTTACCAAATATTTACCTGAGAGAAAACCTTCCCCCATCCTTTGGTGGCTTAGTGTCTGCAGAAACCTTTAAAAGAACTGTAGCAGAGTACCCAAGCAAACTGTACCTACTGATCCTCACTCATTTTACAGATTTGGGAGTGTAGGAGGAAGTTTTTTTTGGTTTGTTTGTTTGTTTTAAATACTTGATTAATCTTTGTTTCCTATGGGTTTGCTGGGAACAGATGTCAAATGTGCTAGTCTCTTTTTTCCCAGATCACCACTGAAATACTTTTAAAACTTGATATTTTACCAGCAATTTTTATTAAGGCAGTGTCAGAGAAGTGAATCAGTACATGTCCTTACTCAGTTACTACTGAAATGAGAGATTCAGTTCATGCACTCTTGGTTGAATTTTGTCTAATCTTGGTGATTTGTTACCATTTATTTTACTGGTCTCCACATTTCTTCTATCAGACAGTTCAGTTTGATACAGATCCTCAGTTCTGTTCCTCACAGTTTGAAATTTCTGCCATGGTGAGCCCTCACCGCCTAAACTCTTCCGTGATGGGGATGTGGGGATGGATGTACAGGCTTGTCTGTCTTTCTTTCTTTTTTTTTTTTTTGGTCCTGCTCTGCTGTTATCATCCTTGGACAGCCCTTCTGTACCTTGATGTTAAATTGATCCTCCAGATTCTGTCAGATTCTTCTCATGAGAGAGAACATGCATTTTATCCTTTCGCACATCTGCTCTTCATTTCTCTGATTCAGGGGAGTCTGTCCTCATTGTCAAAAGATTTTCTCTCTCAAAAATAACAAGAAGACTAAGTCTGATAGCAGTAATTAGCAGGGAGTAAGGAACTATTGCCAGTCTCACAGCTGAAACTGTAGCACAGAATACCCTGGGCTCAGTGGGCTGTGTTCATGTGGGCACAGTGGTGCAGCATTGAGAATGAAGTTAGCCCTTGGGGCAGTAATCCCACTTACTGCAGTTAAAATAAATAATTCCACTCTTCTGTCTCTCTCCCTGGCACAGTGCATCAGGGCTGTATTCCATGACTTTCAAAGAACTTCCTCAGGATGTAAAGAACAAGCTTTGTTTCTAACTGTCATTGGAAAATCCCTTTTCTCTGTTTTCCTGCTGATTTCTCTACTTCTTTAGGGATTAGAAATGATGCTTATCTCTGTTAAGTCCAATCATAATTTAAGAGGGATTTCTCTCATTGACAGTGCCAGCTTAAACAGCCTCCTGTCCCCCACTGCATGTCCCCGCTACCCCTTCAGTTGTACTGCTGCAGTGAAGTGTTAGGGACTAGAGAACAGATCAGAGTTAAAAGTGGCCTAGCATCCACAGTCTTCCTTCCATCTTTTTCTGTAACCTGCATCAGTTTTCTGGTCCAGCTCTGTGTGGTATTGTTCAGAGCTGCCCTGGCACAGCTGAGGGAAGGGACCACAGCTAAATCACGGAACATGATTTAGGGGCAGGATTGCAGTGATGCTTCCTGGATGCCAAGGACAGAGCTTTCTAGACAGCCTACAACATTTTTAATTTACTTTATTGCTTGCTTCAAACATTCTGGTCATTTGCCAAAGCACGGATACTTCTGTGCCTGTTGTATGCTTGACTTAAACCAATACATCCTTGATGTCTCATCAGCTGTGCAGCCCCACCGTGCTGTCTCAATTGGCTCTGCCAATGTAGGTGCACACTGTGGATAGCTTCGAGGGTGGAAAGCAGCTTTTCTCTGGTTATTTTTAACTGTTTTGCTGAACAGAATACTTACACCTGAATTCACTGAGCATCTTCCAGGCTCTGCCGTGAATGAGGTGGCACAGGTCAAAATCACAGCTCTCTTCATGGTGTGTGCCAGTCTCATTTACCAGTTGTCTGATGTGGTGATGAGTCTGGGTTCTACAGAAAAATAGCAGTATATAATAGCAGCCACAATAGCATGTGGCTGGGGGGATTGTCTTTGTTCTTGGGAGGAAATTAGGTCCAAGCAGGCAAATTTAATTTTCTAAATTTTGTAGGTTGGCTGTAATTAGGAATTTCATCATTTTATTTATCATTTTAATGAAAAATGTTTACAAGCAAGCAGATTTGCTTTGTATATTTGTTTGTGAGAGGATGGCTTCTTAAGCATAGTGCATGTTACTGGTACAGTAGGTATCAAACCTTAGGTGGTATATCCACTAGCGTTCCTTGGGACGTTACTTCATTAAAGCTGACTAACGTGCAATGTTTTCAGTTTGTGAGGAAGCAAAATTTTTGTGTGGGTGGGGAGAATATAGATTTGAAACTTAGTATGTGCCAGATAGTTTAAAAATAAAAATCTCAACACGTGGGTATCCCAAAGCTAAATATTAACCGAAAGCCTTTCAAGTTCCAAGTGAGACTGAGGGGTTTAGTTAGTTACCTTAGTCCCAAAGGATGGTTCCACTGGCAAAAATAATGTTTTTACAAAACATTTGAAGGCTTCTGAGTGCTGGGGCTTGTAAGGCACCATGGCCTGGGTAGAGGATCTCAGGATTTCCAGCCACTGGTTGGGTCTTGATCTGCCAGACCAATGTCACCCTTGTTCCAGGGGTGCTAATATCTGTGAGCCTTGCTGCGGGATGGTGGTTTCAGGATTTTTCCAATTTCAAGCACCAGCTCTGTAGCAGAAAATGTGAAAGCTTTGATAGCCCAGGCTTGTAGTCTCATAGTTTCCTGGGTTTCAGCAGTGGAGCCATGAATATAGTTGTATTTAAAACCAGAGTTTCAAGTCTGAAATAGATAAGAGACAGCAGGTGTAGTGCTGGGATATTCTCTTAATAACTGACTATAAAGGGAGCTCAGACTTAATAACGTAGATCTGTCACAGATCCCTCAGACTGTAGATGCTCAAAGTGAAATGAGAAATTCCAGTTCTGATGGCAGACAGATGAAGGTTAGAGGCTGAGATGGAGTCACAAAGTCCTCCTGCTTCTTCACCGTACAAGTTGGATTTGATGATCACAATCTCCTGTCTCTAAAACCATTTATCAAAAACAACTTTAAATTCAATATTTAAATGTTGCCCTCTTTCTTCAGTTTACCTCACACCTTACCCTCCTGTCAGGGATTACTCTGACCAGACAATGCCAGGTCAGATATCAGTTGAGAGTGAAAATTTAGAGGATTAAAGGTGTGTTTGTAGCCCAAATTAAAGGGTATTCCGTTAGAAACTTGTGCACAAAACAGGTAAAAAACAAACAAACAAACAAAAATAAAACAGCTTAGAAATTCCTGAGGTGTGTAATAAAGTTGCTTGTGAAACTTTGTCACTAGGCCATAAATAATAGATTTTTTCCTGTGTTTTTAGTAGTTCTTCTGAAGTTGTTTTTGACTGATTTTCTTGTATTCTGAGATCTTCACTGATTTCTACTGTCTCAAGTTTATGAGGGTTTTGTCCTCCCATCTGATCATCTTCCTCCTCTGTTTATTGCTTTGGAGAAGGCCATGGAAGGTGTTGCTGATGCCTCTCATTGAAACTTCAGATGAGGCACGAAGGGGAGCTTAAACCTGAGAACTTCCTCGAATCCACCATTGCAGATGGGTGGTTTAGTCAAGCTGGTCTGAGTGGCACTGGGCTCCAGAACCTGTCCAACACGTCTCTCTCTGGTAGCTGACTGATCCCTGATGTGACATCAACCTTTCTAATCATAAATTCTGGAGAAGGTCAGAAGTTTTCATGTGGGATGTTTCTGTCTTAGGTGGTACGGCCAGGAGAGCGTCTTCTCCCTTAGCACATGTGTTGTGAGGTGGGCTCTGTTCTCCTGACTGTCCTTGAGCTCTCTGATATCTTACTTGCTTTCCAGGTGGAACCAGGTGTGCTACCATTGGGCATTGCCTCTGAAGGACATGAAAATTTCCCTCCTAGAAATGCAATAACAGACCCAGAGAGCAGCCAACAGATTCAGCAGCTGGTGAGTTGTTGCCCTGTCTGTGGGTGCAAGAGGGGTCTGTGCGTATTGGCACTTCCCTTCCAGAATAAAACCAGTCTGGTTTTAGGTGAAGGAGTGCACTGCTTTCTTGTGGTTTTCACCCATAGGATCCAGGCAGAGGTTTGGGGGACTGAAGTCTTTTGTAGGCACAACCTGCAAAGGCTATCTCTGCATTGAGAGTGCTTCTGGGAGACATCTCCTGGTATTGTGCTGCATCTTACGTGAGCTGGTGGGGGAATGTATCAGACTAAAATGAGAGGAAACCATGCCAATAGATTCTGTGATGTGTTTAGTTTAGTCTTATCTGAACTGGGAAACAGATGTGACTAACTTGGGACAGATGTTGTGAGGAATATGGCCCTTGTGAATTATTCTGGCAAACTAGGACAGTTCACAGTGAAGTTTAGCCATTCTTTTCTATCTTGGGAACTAAGAGTGATCGCAAGTAACTATAGATAAAGGTACATAACCAGATGATGTCTGCTGTTTGTTAGATGTCAACTGGATTAGAAAAAGAGCTAGTTTAGCACAGCTGTTGTTTCAGGCTTCATATTCTGCACAACTTTTTTATTCTTGTTCCTCACATCTTGTCCTTCATCCTATCCTACACAAATAAGGACAATCTTTGCAGATGGGAAATAGAGAACTGTTTCCAGAAGTTGAAAGGGTTGAGAAAGAGAGGAGTAGCTGTTTTACTTAAAATGTTTTTTGGTTTACAGTGTTATTTGAAAAATCTCCCTAGGTTTATATGTTATTTATGTTTGTAAAAAAGAGTTTTTCTTAAGAAAATGGGAAAAGCTAATATAGCATTGGGTCTGAGAAGCAGAGCCTGAATTTGTTCTGCACTGTAAGAACATGGACTTAGTGATCTATTTATTCTTGTTTTGTGCAGGAATTTGAACTCAAGAAAAAGCGCAAAAAATGTGAAAACCTTGAGCATGAAGTGAGGAAAAAACATAAAAGATGCAAAGAACTCGTAAGTGTTCTCATTGCCTAGTGTTGTGAATCTAATGGTAGAATAAGATTTTAGGTTGTTGTGTGGTTGTCTTGGGTTCTGTTTGTTTATTGCAGTAATGAGTTGCCAGTCATCTTTTTGAACGGTGTCACAAATTCTGGGCTTCAGCCCTTGGAGCTGGAATTTTTTATTTAGTCCTTCAGCTAGTTGTGGGTTGGATAAAGCTACATAAATCACTGGATGAAACTCCATAGCCTTTGCAAGTCTGGGGAGATGCTTTCTATTTTCACATGTACTCCAGGCAAACATCAAAAATTTCTGCATCTTGAGAAAGTAATTGCACATAATTTTCTTGTGCTTCTTTTTTTTTTGGATGAAACCTTGCCTCTTTTCCATTTCATGGAGGTTTTGCAGGTCATATCACAGCATCCAGATTTCTCCCTTCTGTTTCTACCTTGCTGAGCAACTCTGGTGGTATTAATGACTGCCACAATGTATAGTTTTGTCAAAGGGTGATGACCCTTTGAATAGTTGTTTTGCCTCTTGCTCAGATGTCAGTTCTACATGTCCATGATGCATAGCTCACTGTTTGGGTAAGTATGGAGTGTTTAGGGAATAAGATTGTTGTTAGCAGATTTTTGAGATCAAGAAGGGACCAAGTCATCTTGAAAGACTGGGATTGAGACTCTCCAGTACAGGGTATTAGCTCTTGGAATATCCAGAAAATGTGAAAATGTTTCCTTAAAACTGTGTGGTGTGGGAATGTATGTATGTGCGTGTGTCTCTGTGGAGTCACTTGTAATTATGAAACTCTCAAATTCCTCTGATGCTGTAAGGGCTGTAGGTGGACTAGACTTGCATAACTCAGTAAGTGTCCATGGCTTCCTGCCTGCTCAGAGACATAAAATTCTTCTTCCTCCACTGAAATTTGTAGAGAAGACTGCAGTCTTGAACCAGCAATGAAACTTGATGAATTGTTGGTAGAGATAGAGTTCTAGACAGAAGTTGACAAGGAAATGTCTTTCTTATTCTGAGGTTTGAGGCTATATAAATAAGAAAAGCAACTTACGAGACCATCTGAGATGGGGCTGGTATCTGCCTGAGCAGTGCTGCACACTGTTACCTTCCACTGCTCAAGCAGTATCCTGCCAGCATCCTGAACCATCAGTCAACAGGAACAATGAAGTCATGCAGAAAAAGGTGGGGGAGTTAGTCTGAGGACCTTGGAATGGTAACACCTGCTGTTTCTGGACAGGAGATCCAGCTGCAGGAGATACAGAGTGAAAATGCACGACTGGCTGAAGAGAACTTGCAGCTGAATGAGAAGGCTGGATGGGCAGGACAGGTAAAAAGCAGTATTTTTGTTTGTCAGATGGAGCATTACCTTCTGTAAAACTTTCTGAGATGAACTAAGAGTCATCATGTTGCCACCGTGCATAGGTCTTCCAACATATTTAGCAATTGTTTGTTCTAATTGGAAGGATTTTTCTTTACTTGGTAATCTGCATTGCAAGTGGTCATCAATCCATAGTGTGCTACAGAAACGAAATACATTACTGGAACCTCCTATAGTAAGTGGAGGAGGTAAATGCAGTTTCAGCAGGTTATTGTGTCTTTCTGCACAGTTCTCTGTGGTTAATCCCACTAATCCCACTATATAGAATTAAAAAAAAAAAAAAGCTCTCAGAGCTTGTGTGTTTTGTTTGTATCTCTTCAGTAAATAACCTCTTCTTATCCTAATTCCTTCCCCCCTGCTAAAGAGAAACTAGTAGGAGAAATGGCATGTGCGTGTAAATACGGCAGTATTTGTTCTGAATGGAAGACAGAGGGAGAGGAGGTTGATGATTTTGGTGTTACAAGTAAGAAGCAGGTCTGTAAAATAGCGTATGGAAATAAATTGTCCTCCATTCTTTATATAACAAATACCTATGGCTATATGTGCTAATTGCCAATCCTTTCTCTTCAGGTTGAATCTGAGAATGCTGACCTGAAGTTGCAGGTTGTTTTGGTTACTAAGGAACGGGATTCAGTAATTCAGACAAATCAAGGACTTCAAACCAAGCTGGAGAATCTAGAGCAGGTGTTGAAGGTCAGTAGGCTGGAAGGACTGTCCAGATGCTTAGTGCTGTTTTTGGATGGCAGAGGTTGTCTCTTCGCTTTTTTTTTTTTTTTGTCTGTTCTTTAGATTTGGTGCTTCTGCTGGGGGTTCTGCCATGCAGGATCCTGTGACATGGCCTTCCGAAGGGAGCAGAGGGACTTGGGAAAGGCTGCTGCAGGGATTTGGGTGGAAGGGGAATATAAGGTGGTCATCACTGATTTTAAGATTCTCTTTGTGTTGCTCTGGCTTGTGGCAAGAATTTCTTACTTTCTCCTCTGTGAGATACAGACCATGTTTTAACTCCATGGCTCGTGGCAGGACATAGGACATTATTTCAGTAACATTGCCTTTAAACTGTCTGTGAATTGTTCTGCAGCACATGAGAGATGTGGCTGAGCGAAGGCAGCAGCTGGAAGCCGAACACAAGGAAGCGCTGCTAGTCCTGCAGGAGAAACAAGAGGAAGTCAGACGGTTACAGCAGGTATGCAGTGTGTGAGTGATCAGACATCTTATTCTATGAATTCCCAGAAGAGCTGGGACTCCTGCACTTTGTTGCTTGGAGGAGCAATGTATGGAGGAGCTATATGTGAATCTACTAAAGTAACCCAAGGAAGAGTCTCTGTGTCTAGGTGAACTCTGGTACTTGAGCAAATTGAGGGGTTTTTCTCATAAATGATCTCCCACAGCTGTTTGTCCATAGACCAAAGATGCCTTCAGTCTATAATGTGTCTTAAAGCTATAATAGTGTCTGTCAGGGTGATGATGATAGTAGAAGTGAGTTTAGGTAGACTGCTTTCTTATTTACTCTGTCTCTTTTTTCTTAGGCACAGGCAGAGGCAAAAAGGGAACATGAAGGAGCAGTACAGCTTCTAGAGGTAAGACAAAATAAAACAAGATGATCTAGTGGTTGCAGAGTTGGTATCTTTTGTTCTTAATGTCATTTTTCTTGATGCCCTGGATTGTATTAGTTCTTGAGCAAAATGTGATAAAGTATTGACTTGACACAAAACGTTGCTGCTGTGTATAATTATTGGTTGTGCTGGCAGAGTGTAGTCACTGAGATGAGAGTTTTGTGTGGTTAAATCCTAACTTGTTCAGTCCTCAAATAGGTTATTTCATTCAGACAGTGTCCAGCAACTCTTTCAGGGATGCATTAAGTAACCAACCTCAGATCTGCCTGCTCCATTTCCAGGGTCATCTGCAGGGAGGAGGAATACTTGTGTCCATGTTATTTGATATATTTTTTTTTGTGTGTATAGGTTGAATTGTGTCCTTTGCCTGAAGATAATGAGTGATGATGTTTGAGGCAGTGCCCTTGTCCCATTTGCTAGTCTGAGACCAGTTGTGTGAGTGCTGTGACATCTGCGCAGAACATGCTTTGCCATGGTGGCAGACAGCTTAATGATGCAGGCTGGCAAATGGGATGAACACTGTTTTGGTTTTGATTTGCACTGTCTCAGTGGTTAAGATGACTTAGGAGAAAACCTTGGCTGTGGATTCCTAGAACTGCAAATGCAAAGCACTAAACCCTGAAACCTGATGTGGTAATTTGGTGGCTGCCTGAGACTGGGGCTAGGTGTGAAGGCACATGGAGCAGCTTCTGCTCTGTCTGTCCACTGAGGCTTTCTGAGTAATAAAATATCTGGGAAAGAGCAGAGTGCTTCGTTGTACACCTGGACATTGAGATCTCCTATTAATGAGGCTGTGGCCATGTCTATAGTGGTGACATACATGTACAGTCGGAGATGGCAGCCTGAATTGCCTATGTCGATCTCTGTGGTTGTTAGGAGCCCAGAAGAATTGAGCAAGATGGTAAGTTTTCTTTATCCATAAGATTGTTCCATGTCTGTAAATGGCATCTCCTTTGAGTGGGCATGACCTGTATCTGAACTGGAGATCCTAAGAGTGCTGGGCTCCTAACCAGATGGCACTGAAATTGTTGCAAGATGGGTGAATATTGAAGGGAAGTGATGTTATATATTGTCCCATTTCCATGTTCTTTCTGGGACATCTGCAGAGACAGGCTGCAGAGACAGGATCAGGGTTGGTATGTGTGCTACTCTTACATCAGTTGGTATTTAGCTGGCTTCTTAGCAGCCATTACAGCAAGGGAGGTTTGATACTTGGCAAATGTTTTCTGAACTAATTCATCGAAGGATTGCAGCAGCCTCTCAGGTTTAAAATAGACATCTACCCATGTTGGGGAAAAAGGGAACAGTTGTTTTTTTTCTGTTTGAGTAGCTGGTCATAAAGGCCTCATCAGTTCTTGCTTTCATATTTCTGGTACAGAATTACTTTATAAGTCAGTGACACCAGGTGGCAAAAAGAGAGAGAAATTGTCATTGAAAGCTAGTTTAATGTGGAGCAACAGTTGTTTAAACAACTGAACTATAATCATAGTCCTTCCAGAATATCAGTGTAGGGGCCAGATATGGGGTTGTGATTACTTAACACCTCATATTGTCATTTTAGATGTGTTTGGATTGCTTTTTGATGTAATATTAATGGAGAATGGGTGTGGTCCATTCCTCTTTTGGAAGAGTTCAGTCAGATGGTTGTCCTAAGTGGAGTCTTCCTCTTTGGAGATGTTCAAAACCCAAGGAGACTGGGTTGTCAGCAGCCTACTTTAGCTGACTCTGCTTTGAGCTGAGGGGATTGGACTAGATGGTCTCCAGAGCTGCCTTCCAACTTCAACTACTGTGTAGCTCTGTAATAGGGAAGTGATGGGGATGAGTAGAGGTATGGGGTCATTTCTGTGTGAGGAAATGCTATGCACAGAATGACCAACTCTGCTTAGAAAGAAAACCCTGGGGGGTATGGACACGGTGACGAAGGAATTTAGTAGTTTTTCTGATGTGCATGGGACAAAGTGTCAACTGCCTTTTGTACTTCATTGATACCAAAGGCAACAGCCTGCTTTCAAGTATACAGTGCAGAAATTTGTAGGGAAATGCAGTAAACCTGGCTCAAATTGGCTTGTTTTCCCTGACTTAGGAGCAGGGTGCATGACTGAGCAGTCTGTCTGCTCCTTGAAATTGTGGCAAAGCCACATTCTGAACTGGGCTTTGATTCCTAGCACTCCTTGGTCTCAGAGCTGGGGAGTCTATGCACAAACAATCCATTGTGTGGTAGGTAGGGATGGCTGCAATGTGCTGGGAAAAGAAAGCTTGAAATTTAGCACTTAAACTCATTTGTTCAGATCTTACTGTGATTTGGAGGCCCTCAAAATGTGCATGGCTACCTTGTTCATGCAATTGGTATTGGGGATTTGGCTTTTGTTCAGCAAGCAGATGATTGCATAGAGGTGGGGATCTCTATATGGGACAAGGTGGACACAAAGTTGGTGAGAAACAAATCTCATTCAAACTGAGGGTTGGGTTATCTTTGCAGGTTGTTAATTTTTGGCTAGTGTAACTGCTGATTTGGTTTTATATCTCTTTGCTTTTCTCCTTGCTACCAGAGTACTTTGGATTGCATGCAGGTACTGCAATAATCCTGTCAAGCAGGACATTTTTCTCCTCTGTCCTGGCTTTGACAGTTGCTTGATATTTCTGTTTTAACTATACTCAGGAAAAGATTGCAAGAGTGTCACCTTTAAGAAATAAATATAATTAAAGAAGCTGCCACTAGGAGTTTGATAGAGCAGCTGCTTTTCTGTTTAAATGCTTTGCTTTCTCAGCCAATTAGAATTTTGAGCTTTTATTGGACTTTTCCATATCTTTCAAATTTGTCCAACTGTGCACCTTCTCCATACATCACATACAAGGTCCTTGTCTTTGACCTTGTATGTCAACACAAGACAAGGTCTTTGGGCAACTACTTGCAGTCCAAGAGGAAAGCATTTCCTTCAAAACCAAAAGCAATGGCAACAACATTGCAAGCGAAAGAGTCATAAAGAATAATACCTGCTGGCTTTGTAATTGGTTGGAAGACAGGAAGCAGAGATTGTGAATAGTAATTTTTACAGAAGAGGTAGTAATTAGTGAAGTAATAAAGGTATTGTAGTCTGGAAGCTGTGCTGGTTGGCCTATTGACAAAAGATTTGGAATAAGGGCTTCTACTGAAGTGATGGAGTTCGTACCTGACAGAGAACAGATTTTGGCAGTCACCTTCAAATCTGACTGCAAAATCAGTGAGAAGGTCTCGTGGGTAGTGGGGAGATCAATGACAGCACTGATTGGGCAAAGGTATGCCCATGGAGGAGACGCAGCCGTTACCAAAAATGTGCAGCATGGGCTCTCAGTTACCTGTTGTGACAGGAAAAGCAGATTTCGAAGTATCTCTTTTATAAATAAAATGTCATCTCTCTTCATAGTACTGGTCTTAAAGGCAAATACAGTGTTGGGAACTTTTAGAAAGGGAATTATTTTCTTTTCTGAAGAAAGCCTGAGGACATCAGGGTATGCCCACTTTCTGTAGAAGTAGCACCCACATCTATGTGGAGTTATAGATGTTCTTTTAATCCCAATGTTAAGTTTGGAGTTAGTCCTGCTTTGAGCAAGAGGTTGGACTGCAAACCTCCAGAGTCCTCTTTCACCTAAATCATGATTCTCTGATCACCAAAACAGGTAGCAGAAGATATGGAGAAAGGTAGCAAAGGATGTCTGGATGGGGGAACATCCTTTGTAGGAGGAGAATTGTAACAAAGCAGCCAAAGAGAGTATCTAAGAGGACAGGGATGAGCTGGTAGTGGTTAGGTCTAGCTCAGTGAGGGAAATTGGTTCCTGAAATTGGTGGTCAGTTCCTGAATTGGTCAACGTGATCCCTCCAAGCACTGCTCCCTGCTCTTGCAGCCTTTTCTGGTAATCCCACTATTCAGTCTCAGGTTGGTGTGTGGCTCATCTTTCTTCCCCTTTTGGGATAAGCATAGATGCATAGACACAAAAGACTTCTGTCTCTTCTGTGTCTGGGGCTTGGTTCTTGCTCATTTTCTGCAGCTCTTGACCTTGTCCATGGGCTCCTCTTCCTTATCCCGCAGCTTCCTAGCACTGCCCTGGAAACGTGCTGCTTGCCTAGCCACATGCGAACCTCTGTGAGTAGCCTGCTAAGAGGCATTTACATGTATTGTGTTGTGGAGGAATCCTGTACAACATGACCTCAGTGACGGGGTTGACTGAGCAAGCAGAGAATTGCAGACACTTCTGAAAGTTGCTTGTGGCGTGTAATAATCTCTTTCATTACAGGGACAGTTACTCCTTGCCACACTTCAGACTTCACCAGGCTTCACTTGAAGACTGAGAGTTCCTAGCTACTTGACAGGAAACAAATTATAAAACTGACAAGTTTAAAACATGTGTTTTATGCTAAAATAAAAATGAATGTACACTTGGAAATTGGTAAGGAGTGGGACAGAAAGATTTTGCAGTACTCTGAGACCAGAAAGAAAGCTTTATCCAGGTCAGAACTGTTACTTTTAGAGCTTCTTAGAAACAGACTTTCTGTCTCCTAGAGCATTTCAAAAGCATGATTTAATTTTTGAGTTGGAAGGAGAAAAAGACATTTCAAAAACGTTTCATAGAATGGAAAATTTTGAAGAGATTGATTGAACAAATGTCACCTCGCACAGAGCCTGTGCCTCAGCCAGATGCACTGATGCCAAATCTTCTGCGTGATCTCAGTTGAAGAATTTGTGATGAGAAGTTTGCATATAGCACCAATACTGTGTGTCTTCTTATTACTTGAAGGGCGTGAGCAAGGTCTACACAGGAAAACTTCTAGGAAGCCACACTAAGCTACTACATGGTGGCAAGAGAGCTGAGAGAGAAAGGAGCAGTTGTGTTCTCCTGGAAATATGCCTGCAGCTAGGGAGGGTGTGGGGATGTGTAAGGACAGCCAAGACTTGGCAATATTTTGGAATGGGAAGATATAGAGATGGTAGAAAGAGAACACTATAAAAGAGATAAAAATGCTTACCTAGCAGTGTAGTCTTAAGTTGAAGGAATGAGTATTTCTCATACTTTGCACAGTATTTCTCCAATGTTCCCCTGCATATCATCCAGTTGAGATGCAGCTTTCTTGTACTCAGCATGCATTTTCATGGAGCAAGTCATCCCTATAGGACCTGGTGGCAAACCCTGTGGGCTGCCGGCATCACGCCAACATTCTGCAGCATGGGCCACAGTGATAGTGCTCTGTGCCCTTCCTAGTGTCTGGAAGTCATGCCCAGAACAGCTTGTGGGGAGGCCATGGTAAGGTTGTGGGAGCTTCCTGGAGCTTCTGGGGTGATGGAGGAAATAGAGCACTGGGAGAGCAAATCCTTTTGCAGACATGATATTAATGCTCTAAGAAACATGCAAAGCTATCTCAGCCTTTTTCTTTCCAAAATTTACTTATCTTTGACTCATCACATCCTTTCTTGTGCAAGTCTTGGATAGGACATTAATGTTCAAACTCAATATTTCAGGGATAATTCCTAATTGATCTTGTAGTCAGTCTCCTAATAGATAAGGAGTCTCAGGTTTTCGAAGACACTCTAGGTGCAGAGCTTCCAATTGCTATTGACCTTTCCTGGGCAGGGCATACAGTTAGGTCCTTGTAATCTGAGACCCACTCAGTTTCTGAAGAGTTGTAGCAAAGACGAATGCTATTTGGAGCCTCAGTGATGATTTTAATGTAGGTTTGTGCCTCATCTTGTGTCTTTCCTGTCAGGCCCGGGTGAAAGATCTAGAAGAGCAGTGCCGCAATCAAACAGAGCAGTTCAGCCTCCTGTCTCAGGAACTCAAACAATTCCGACTTCAAACAGGAAAAATTGACCTTCTCACCTCTACACTGGTGACTTCTGAGCTTCCTCTTGCACTGTGCAGCTCTAGCCCACAGCTCCACTGGGAGAAAGGTAATTGCTGGAGATGCCTGGCCTGTGGTTGTTTTGATAAATGTGTCATTATTTGTGTAAGTGGAAAGGTGTAAAGAAAATAATGCAAATGTGTTTTGGGGATCTCGGTCTGTATCAACTTCTGGGATCTCGGTCTGTATCTCTCTTTCTCTCGTAAATAACCAAAATTCATTTTGTAGTCACGGAGACAACTTGGTGTTGTCAGGGAACTGACCAAATAGAGTGTAGGGTGCCCAGTCTGTTGCACGGTTAAATGAATTGCACTTACTGAGACATGAGCTGCTCTAAAGGGGTGTTTGCTCACTGTGATACTCACTTTTGGTCTTGTATTCTGACTGCGGCTAAAAGTAATGGATAGGTTATTTTATTGCAGATTCAACTGGTCCTGCATTGCTTACTCACCAAAGCACAAAGAAGGTTCACAATGAAGAGACTGATGAGTTGGAGTCATCACAGCGGGTTCCTGATGCTGCTGTTGGTTCCCCAGTTTCTGCTACTGGTTCTCAGAAACAAGCCAAAAAAGTTGAATCTCAGTCAAGCTCTTCAAAATCAGAATCCATGCAGAACAGTCCAAAATCCTGCCCAACTCCAGAGGTCAGTATGGGAGTCCCCTCTCGGACCTGTCCTTTCTAAGCCAAGAAATGCATTGCAGAGAGCCCTGTATTTCCTGGTGTTGCATTTGTTCCCTCTGGCTGACTGAAGAAAACTGTAGCAAAGTGAGAAAACCTGTAGGAAGAATTGAAAAGGTCTTGGATGCCCATGTCTGCAGTGCTCATTTGTACATATTACTGCAATTTAGGAAGGAATCAACTGACTAGACAGAGTACTGTGGGCTTGGAGAAGGAGGCAAGTGGGCAGGTCATATGGTAAGAAGTGTGGGGAAGCTCTGGTTAAGCCTCAGCCATGGTTGCAAGCATAAAGTTTACAGACTGTTACTTTCAGCATGCTGAGGGACTATGCCCAAACTGTTTTTGTCCCTGAGCTGTAAATGAGGGACTCGAGCTTCTTTGCTTGTTCTGTTAGGAGTACTAGTTTTACTTGTTCTAATACACCATGATACATAATACACCAAGATGCTGAGTTTGTGCTAGCAAAGGGGTGAAGTTAATAGGCTTTGCCTATTTGTGTCACCAAGATACCATAGATGGCGGTTTCTTCTCTTCCCCAGGAGCTCTTATGTAGTATTACAGGGTTCATTTAAGCAGTCTTTCATACTCACTGATACAACAATTTAGGGTAAGCTATTGCTGTGAGTGGGGCTGGGTGTGATGGTGTAGGAGGCAGCTCATGGTCTCTTGGTTCACTGATGTTTACTGAACAGCTAAAACTTTGGAGGCTACATGGAGTGCCACATTATACATGTGGAGGACATTGAAGTCTTGAGCTACAGAGCCCGGGAAGTTGGTGTGCCAAGCAGTGCCCACCACTGTGTAAGGTCTGAGAAGTTGTCATCTTTAGTGATAAAGTGATGGTCACACCTGGAAAGGAACATGTATCTGACTACTATCAGTTCTGTGGTGGGAGAAATTACTATTGTTCAGTGTAATTACTGTTGTTCAATGTCTCCCAAAACATCTTCGTAGACAAGCTCAGGAAGTGCAGCCTAGATGAGTGGACAGTGAAGTGGATTAACAATTGGCTGGATGGCAGAGCTCAGGGGGTTGTGCTCAGTGGTGCAGTCTAGTTGGAGACCTGTAGCTTGTGGTGTCCCCCAGGGGTCAGTACTGGGTCCAGTGCTGTTCAACTTGCCCATCAGCAAGTTCCTTTGTCCTGGATAAAGGAACGGAGGGCACCCTCAGTGGGTTTGCAGATTACACAAAGCTGGGAGGAGTCGCTGATACCCCAGAGGGCTGTGCTGCCATTCAGAGGGACCTCAACAGGCTGGAGGGCTGGGCCAAGAGGAACCTCATGAAGTTCAATGAGGGCAAGTGCAGGGCCCTGCACCTAGGGAGGAATAACCCCAAGCACCAGCACAGGCTGGGGGCTGACCTGCTGGAGAGCAGCTCTGCAGAGAGGGACCTGGGAGTCCTGGTGGACAGCAGGCTGACTGGGAGGCAGTAATGTGCCCTTGTGGCCAAGAAGGCTGAGGGGATGCTGGGCTGCATTCAGAAGCGTGTTGCCAGCAGGTCAAGGGAGGTGATCCCGTCCTGCTCAGCCCTGTTGAGGCCACACGTGGAATGTTGTGCCCAGTTCTGGGCTCCGCAGTACCAGAGGGACGTAGAAGTACCAGAGTTCAGAGGAGGGCTATGAAGGTGATTAGAGGACTGGAGCATCTGTCACACAAGGACAGGCTGAGAGAACTGGGTCTGTTTAGCATGGAGGAGACTGAGGGGAGACCTCATCAATGTGTATAAATATCTGAGGGGAGGATGTCAAGAGGATGGAGCCGGTCTCTTTTCAATTGTGCCCAGTGACAGGACAAGAGGCAGCGGGAACAAATTGAAGCACAGGAGGTTCTGGCTATATATGAGGGGGCACATCCTTATTGGGAGGGTGACAGAGCACTGGGACAGGTTGCCCAGGGAGACTGTGGAGTTTCCTTCTCTGGAGACATTCAAAACCCACCTGGATGCCATTACCATTTGTATTTCATACAGGGTCACAGAGATAGGAGGAAGTGAATTTACTGCATTGGAGATATGTACAGTGGAAGGGACTTCCAGAATTTCAAGTCTAATTTCCTACTCATAGTGGGACTGCCCACCAACACTGGCTCAGTGAGGCCATGGCTTTACCTAGCTGAGGCTTCAGCAATGGGAGATCCACCAGCTCTGTGGAAACCTCTCCCAAGGTTGCATCACCTGCCTGGGCAAGGAGTTTTTGCAATGTTTTGCAACCATTGAAACTGCAGCTTGGAGCTGTCATTCTTAGTACTACCTTTTCACCCTAAAAATCATTCTTCCAGACTAATCCTTAGCCAAACTGGCCAAACTCACCACATACATCTGCTTAGAGGACTTGTTCACTACTGTTGGAACCTTTCGAGTATTCCTTCATTCTGATTTTGACCATATCTAATCCTTCATCTTTAATGTGTTTTTTTAGGTGGACACAGCGAGTGAAATGGAAGAACTGGATGTTGACAGCATCTCTCTAATGCCAGAGACAGGTAGCCAAGGCCCTGCAAAGCTCCAGGTCTTCCTGGCTCGATACAGGTAATGTGTCACCTCATTAAGGTTAGACAGGTTATCTCACACTTGCCTAGTTTACCCTGATCTATGACATGAACCACTGTTAAGGAAAGCCGTCAGGTTCAACCATGTACCTGACTCATCTGTTGGACTTTTTTTGGTGACTTGCATTTCTTCCACAAGCAAAGCCTGTGCATTCAGCATAACAAAAATATAGCAAGCTCGTTAGCAAGCGGCACCGGTTGAAATTTTTCTTTTGAAAATGATTTTGGATGGAAAATTGAGTTCTGAATTGACCCATTCCTCAGTCTGATTTTTAGAGAATTGTGTAGCCTTCTCCAAGAAAATCTTATTCCAACAATTAAGAAAACTTCAGCACAGAATTCCTGAATTGAGTTTTGGCTGAAATCTTTATGGTTATTACTAAAAACAATGTAATACTGAAGAAGGAAAGAATAACACCAGATTTTCCAGTTCATTTTTGCTGTCCATTGAGTTGCTATGGTCAAAGCCAAGTCCCTCTTTTCAGTTCCAAGAATGTTGGCATATGATTCAGCTTTTAGACTGTTGACTGGAAGGAGAAGAACTGGGATGATTCTACGCTTGTTAGGAGTAGATCAGATATGACCTGTGTGTTCATGTCCTAGTCCTGTGCCCATAAGGTCTTGCTCAGCTCAGAAAGGATAGCATTGCTTCAGCATGCTGGAAACCATTATAATGACTGAAGAGCAGGAATTGGCAGTAGATTCTTACAAGTTTCTTTATGAGGCTTTTTCCTCTACTAGGTTCTCCGATTGGCTTGTGGGTAGGTAACTTAGAACTATCTGGAGCCCAAATACTATCACCAATGCATTTATTTAACAATTTAATGTACTTTTGGACTGCCATTTAAAATGTGGAGTTACAGCACTGGGAGTTGGTTCTTGACAACTTGGATCCTAAGAACTGGGTAATTACGAAGGCTAGAAACCTTTTCTTCATTCATATGTAACATTCTGCACAAATCAGCTCATTCTTAGGGTTTGAAACATGGGAATTTTGAGATTCTTTGCTGTGCTTATCCCCGACAGTTGTATGGCTGGTAAAGCTTGCTTTACGTGTTTGAGGAGCTTTGATTCAAAGCAGTTATGTGCATGAAATGTAGAGAACTATGTACATAAGAGTTAAGAGTGCAGGTGAATCTAAGGATGTCTAATTCAAAAATGCAGAATCCTAAAACTTATTCAGTTGATATAATCTGGAGAACAGCAGGCACTCAGGTAAATCAAATCTTTTTAAAACACTTCCTTGAGTCACGCTGATCTGTTACTTCAGAAGTCAAAAGACATCTCTTCTGCCACTCAACAAAGCACTCCTAGCTGCTGTTTGAACATGGAGCAATATAGTGTTGGTTATATATAAAAGCATAAGCTGGAGGCTTGACCTTTGTGGAATTTGCTGCTTACAAAAGGTGGGTGCAGCTAAAATGCAAGCTGTTCTAACAGCATAGCTTGAAGGTGTTGCTATGAAAGTTGCTGTATGAAGTAAGGTTTTGTTTTGTGACTATTTCAGCTACAATCCATTTGATGGACCTAATGAAAATCCAGAGGCAGAACTTCCACTGACTGCTGGAGAGTATATTTACATCTATGGAGACATGGATGAAGATGGCTTCTTTGAAGGTGTGTTCTAGTGGAAGTGGAATGTGACTGAACTGCTGTGGAGATTTGATCCCATAAAAAAAAATAAATTAGTGAATCTTAAAAGCTCAAGATAAATGTTTCCTGTCCAAAGCCAGTTTGCTAGTGGGAAGAGCAGGTTCTATTGGAAAAGAGTTTATTTGCATCATGATTAACGTCTAAAATGTGAAATCCTGGTCTGGTGAATTCAGTGGGAGTTTTGCCATTACTTTCCATGGAGAGGACCAAGTTTAACCTATGGGTGCCTTCTGCAGGTGGTCTCTTACCCTCTTTCCAGTGGCTGCCTACTGAGCCAGGGACCACAGGCAGTTGATAGTCTTGATCATCTCTTGCTCTTTTGGGCATAGTAAGGTGTAAGCTAAGCAGTCTAAACCACAGTCTTTATCCTGTTTGGTGTTATACAGTGTGCTTTTGGCACCTTTGAAACCATGGTCCTTGTTGACTAATGGGTGGATGGAATTGAAACAAAGAATTCTGGACTGTAAATTGTAGTGAAGTTTCTTTGTAGAGTTGACATACTTATGGGGATATAGGGACCTGATTTATTCAGGTGCTTTGCAAGAGCTGAGGCAAATGCATGCCATGTTGCACTGCTTACTCTTTGACTGTCTGTTTCTTTCTTTCTATTTCCAAGCTTCTCATGTATTTATTTATTTATTGTTTAAAGAATAAAAAGATTATTCTTTACTATTTTTTTTTTGCTTTCCCTGCGTTCAGTTGATTTGCTGTAGGTAGAATTTGAAAGTAGGTTCGGTCCCTATACAGTGTTCATTTAATACTGATTTGATGGTTCTTGCACTTAGATGCTGTGGTATCAGTCATCCCCATGTGTCCTTTCGGGACATCTTTATTACAGAAGCTAGCATAGCAAAGGAGGGAACTAAAAAGAAGGCCAGAGCTGAATACAGAACTGGATAAATGAAATTCCATGGGGAAGTACTGTGAAAACCAAAACTGTTTGGCTGGGAGAAGACATAAAATAGCTTGCATAGTTTGTGAAAAATAGAAAAAGACATTTAAGTTAGTAAAACAAGCTGTGAGGAAGAACAAGAGGATAATGAAGTAGGAAAAACCCTTAAGCTTAACCCTTAATTACACAAAACACTCTGTGGTTAGTTGGCTCTGAAGTGTGTAGTTATCTCACAGTGAGTTATCTCACTGTGGACATTGGGATGTAACAAGAGCAGCTGTAGGAAATGGAGCAAACTTGCCCAGGGATAACATCCCAGAGCTTTCTTTATTCTTGACTGCAGTGCAGTTATGACCTAGCATAGAAATTGTCACATTGTCTTCACAGATGAGTTGGAAGGTTGAATGGTAGGTGCAGTGATAACAGGTTTCCTGTTTTTTGTTTAGGGGAGCTGATGGATGGCCGGCGAGGGCTGGTCCCCTCCAATTTTGTTGAGCGAATTTCAGATGATGACCTCATGACGTTTCTGCCTTCGGAGCTGAATGATCTCACCCATAGTTCATACCAAGAGAAAAGTTTTGTCAGTGCAAGCACCAGCAGTGGGGATAAGAGTGATTTCTCCATTGAAGAGAGTAGCATCAGTCCGTTGGCCAGTAGAGCAGAAGGAGACCAGGAGGAAGCTGTTAGTCACACAGCAGTGCCTTACCCAAGAAAACTGACTTTGATCAAGCAGCTTGCCAGAAGCATAGTTGTAGGCTGGGAACCACCACTTTTGCCGACTGGCTGCCCAGACATACAAAGCTACAATATCTATGTGGATGAAGAGCTACGTCAAAATGTGAAGAGTGGCTTTCAGACCAAAACAGTGATTGAAAAGCTGGATTTAAAGACGAAGGCTTACCGTGTGTCTGTGCAGAGCGTGACAGAGCAAGGCAGTTCTGATAAACTGCGATGCACTTTCTTTGTGGGGCAAGATTTTTGTTTGGCACCAACTATGCTGAAAGTCAGAAGCGTCACTGCCACATCAGCAGAAGTCACATGGCTTCCCTGCAACAGCAATTATAACCATGCAGTGTATCTCAATGGGGAGGAATGTGACATAACAAAACCAGGGGTCTACTGGTATGCTTTCCGCAACCTGCAGCCAAGCACTCAGTATGTTGCCAAGCTGGAAGCCCGACCCTTGAAAACTCCTTGGGAAGAGGTCCCAGAGGGGCAGGAGCAGAACTCAGCTGTGATACACTTCACTACCCCACTAGCAGGTATCAGAGCAGTCATGCCCATTGCCACTGTGCAGGAAGTGCTTGGGGCAGAGAGTTCTGTCTGAACTTTGCTGTGAAACCTTGGAGTAAAGGGAAGCAAGGTTTATTAGGATCTGAGGTGTGAGATGCTGTACTGTTTCGTCTTAATGTTTTGTTCTTCTTTTATTTTAAGAATTTATTACTTCTGTTTTCATTTGCTCTGAGAAGACATCCCCTTTGCTGATTTGAGCAGCATGCCTCTTGGGACATGGACAATCTGTTTTGCTGTGACCTGCACTTACCTTGCTCTAAGGGTTGCTGCATCTTGGCCTCAGCTACTTTTGCAAAGTTTTGTTTTCTGTGCATTAATGTTTTCACAGAACAAGAGCACCTTATTTGCTCTGGTTTTGTCTTGCGCTTCCCAAGGCTTGGGGTTCTGCAGTGACAAGTCTGGTGTGAGAGTTTTCTTTTTGATACAAACAGGGGTTTAATTTAGTGTTATGCTGTAGTGAGGTAAGCAAGAAAAAAGTCTGTTTGTTTTCTCAAAGGTACGCCTGATGCTCCTCTGGATGTCCAGGTAGAAGCTGGTCCCTCGCCAGGTATCCTAGTTATCAGCTGGTTACCTGTCACTATTGATGCCGAAGGATCTTCCAACGGAGTTCGAGTCACTGGTTACGCTGTGTACGCGGACGGACAGAAGGTATGGAGCTGATTCTGTGCAAGGCTGATGTTTGTGCAGGTGGGTGGCTGCAGGCTGGTGCAGGGTCAACGGGGCAACCTCAGAGCTTCAAGACATCGAAAGCAGCCACTGACTGTAAAAGTCAGGCATGTGATGAGTGTTAATGTCACTGTGGTGCTCCTGTGACCTGGGCAGGACTGAGAGGTACTTTGTGTATTCATGAGAAGTGGAGAAAAAGGATCATGCTCTAAAAAGGGAGGATTTTTTTTTCTACTGGGAAGGGACTTTTCTGATTAATACTTCATTAGCATAGTACACAGTGGCTAACTTTGCTGCAGGTTGGTAACTTAGGGCAGATCCAGATTTGTGGGATCCCAAGTGGGGACCCAGTAACTGCAGAATGGTTAAATTGCTTTGTGGTGGCATCAGTAGGGAGTTTCATCATTCCTCATATGGGTGCTTAGCTTGTTAATTTGATTCCAATCTCTTCAGAACATAGTAACAGTTCCTTTCTGTGGACTGTCTTTCATGTATGTTTTTTATCCCAGCATTACAGTCTTCCTTTTACCATGTTTGTGGTGTGCCCACCTGAAACATGGGTGGGGAAGAGGCATAATGGTGCTGCCTCACCATGGTGTTGCCAATAAGCCTCAGGAAAGTTAATAACTCATCTTTGCCAGTGATGTTATACCCAAAAGCTGTGACTTTCTCTTTACTGTTAAGGGACGCTTGTTAACTTTGGGTTCAGGAGCTGCCATTCTCAGAAAGGCTGAACTGGGCACAATAAACAACTGTTTCATGGTTCTTTGCTTGCAGGCAATAGAAGTTACTTCTCCAACAGCTGGGAGCATTCTTGTGGACTTGTCCCAGCTTCAGATGTTCCAGGTGTGCCGGGAAGTTTCTGTGAGAACAATGTCTCTGTATGGAGAGTCAGTGGATTCAGTTCCAGCCCAGATTTCCTCAGTCTTGCTGAGAACATCTCGTCACTCTTCAAATTCAGATTCTGCTGTTTCTACTACTTTTACCTCTAGACTGCCCTGCAGAGATCCTAGGGGCTCTCTGTCTGCACGCAGCCCACCCATGCACCAGACAGTGGCACTCTTGCTTCAACAAGTTTCCACTGATATCTCAGATGCCAAATTGACTGATCTTTCTTCCAGCCACGATGGCTCAGCACGATCTCTGCCAGAGAAAGCCTCCTCACCACTGCACCTCTACTCTCCCAGTGCTTCGTTGGTGCACACCATAGGCACTTTCCCAGAGGGATCAGGCGATGCACAAGACAAGAAATGTCTGACTGTGCCTCCTCAGCAAGCTGGCAGCACAGTGTTCCCTGGTGAGGGCACAGAGCCTGGCCCTTCAAAGGAAGCAGAATTGAAAAGCTCAGACAAACGGACAGAGGTGAAGGTAAGCTTAATGACTCGTGCCTCATGTGCTGGGAAAGAGAATGAATCATTTTGGGGAATGGAATGACATGCTGCTGTTTGTCTTTCTCCTGTTGTGATGCACTGTTTTATTTGGGCCATCGTCCAGTGGTTGGCAAACCAGGAAACAGCATTGGCTGCTGTTGTGTACCTGCAAGAGCAGAAGACCCTCACTGCTTGATTGCATGTGTGCAACCAGAGCATGAGTAGAGTTATGAAAGCAAGAACTCTTTGGGCTTGGATGGTGAAAAGGATGTTCCTACTGTTTTTCATGTCAGTGTTAGTCAGGCATTGCTGTTGTCTTTGACTTCCAAGAATCTTCTCCAGTTGGGTGGACTTGTGCAAGGCAGACTAAGCCCTGTAGCAAGAAGGGGCACTGCCCAGTGATGTAGCTGTGTCACAGAATCACAGAATGACTGGGGTTGGAAGGGACCTCTGAAGATCATCTAGTCTAACCCCTCTCCCAAGCAGGTTTGCCTAGAGCACGTTGCACAAGATGGCATCCAGGTGGGTTTTGAATATCTCCAGAGAAAGAGACTCCACTACCTCTCTGGGCAATCTGTTCCAGTGCTCTGTCACCTCCCTACCCCCCCCCCCCCCCCAGTAAAGAAGTACCCTCTCAGAAGCCAGAGCTCCTGTGCTTCAGTTTGTGCCCATTGCCTCTCGTCCTGTCACTGGGCACAACTGAAAAGAGACTGGCTCCATCCTCTTGACACCCTCCCCTCAGATATTTATGCACATTGATGAGGTCTCCCCTCAGTCTCCTCTTTTAGAGGCTAACAGACCCAGCTCTTGCAGCCTGTCCGTGTGCGACAGGTGCTCCAGTCCTCTCATCATCTTTGTAGCCCTCCTCTGAACTCACTCTGGTAGTTCTATGTCCCTCTGGTACTGGGATGCCCAGTACAAACTGTCTGTCTTCACACAGCTGTCAACAAAAAGAAGCAGGGCAGAAGGAGTCTAGCTGTCAGATTAAATATGAGATCCAGACCTGCCTAGCTTTTGCCTAAACTCAGGGGGCATTTAGAAACTAGGTGCTGCAGTGTCTAAATCTCCTTTGGAGTCTGATCCTGTGAATATTTGCTAAGTGTGTCTGGTACATAAGGACAAAACTGTACTTTGTTGCAAAATGCAGTGGAGATAGGCTACCTTTTTTAGATGAACGGTTAGCAAAGGAGATGGCTGATAAAGGCCTGCCTGATTTACCCTCCTTGTTCCTGTCTGTGCAGCTGTACTCTCTGTCTATATTCTTCACAGAATCCCATTTTCTTCACAGCACTTACCAGCTCCAGGAAGTGCTGGGATAGTGTCCTCACCTCCAGCTCAAGCTAACCTGCAAGCTAGTGCGCAGGATGTTCCTCTGGAACAGCAGAATGGGAAATGGCCTGGTTGTATGTGTTGGGCTCATCTTGTTCTTGCGGCTCTAAAACTATTTGTTGATATGCTTCTGTGGCCTGTATGTGACATATGAGGTGGCTGGACTTGCACAGGTGCAAAGCACAGTGCTGTAGTGGAAGGGCCCACCTTCAGGTAACTCTAAGGAGGAGTTTGTTCCAGTACAGGCCAGCCTTCTATGATACAAAATTGACTGCCAAAATCTTCATGCACCGAGGACACCGAACACATGGTATTTCAGACAGAGTAGTGGGGTTAAGGGTCCCCTTTTGGTTCACAAGTATTGGATGACATTTCCCCCAGGTTTCTTTTTGCTCCCTGCCAAGAAAGGGCTGGGTGGGGGGTGCAGCAGACTGGTGTCATTCACCTCAGAACTGCTGGCAAGGACACCAAGGTTGAAATTCTCAAATTGTCCTTGAGGGGTCCTTTGCAGAAGAGTAGAAATAGAGCATGCACTGGAGGTGGGGGTATGGGGGGGCACAGGAAGGTCCTGCAGATGATGCTGTTATCCTGGTGATGCCTTTTTTTTTGTTTGTTTCCCAGATGGAACAATCTGTAACCAAAGCACCTGAGCTAGAGACCCCATCTAACAGTAGCCTGAAGATACATATGGAGACCTGCTGTACGTGCTCTGTGGAAGAGCCACTAAAAAGTCCCAGTACTGAAAGAGAGAGAGAGACAAAGGAGAAGCACTTGACCCCAGAGCCTGTGCCCGCCCCAGGCCAGGCTGACAGGACAGAGGGCACCTCCCGAGATGCAACCGCAGGTGGGAGCAGCTGCCAGGAGTTCCTGAGGTTGTCCCCTGGCAAGGAGGTGATGAAAGAAATGTCCAGAGTGAAAAGAGAGGTTTGTTTTGTATGTTGGTCAAATTTCTGCCTATGGAGGGGGATATAGATTGTATTTGATATCCTTTTTTTTTTTCTTCTTTCTTTTACAGTCTTAAGCTGTACCATTTTTTGCATGTTATAAAGTGTCTGTCAGTTTTGTGTATTCATGCACGTTTGTGTGTGCATGTGCCAATTGCTGCACTGGGTGCTGTCCAATTTATTTCCTAACACACTTTAACTGCATGTGTATGAGAGAATAAAAGTAAAATATTACTTTATTGCTGAAATAGAGAGGATGCCTGAGAGGATTGAAATTGGTTTTGTTTTTCCACAGCAAGAAGAAAAACTGTCTGAAATAGGAAGACGACAGCTTACCCTTTTTGCTGAGCACAACCGTAGTTCAGACCTTTCAGATATTTTGGAAGAAGAGGAAGAAGATGAACTGTCTTCAGAAGCTCTGGAAGAGAAGAAATGGGATTCAAGAGAGCCCTTTTACAGGGAGAATGGAGAAAAGGTAACCTGTAGCAGAGTGATGCTTGTGGGGAGTGCCAGTGCAGCCATCCCATGTCATCAGCTCACAGGAGAAGGTGCTGGTCTGGTTCCAGCTTGGCTAAGTTCCTGCATGCTCTGCTTTTACTCCCAGCATTGTCTTTAAGCTGCTAAAATGCAAGTTCTTCATGAGAGGGGAGAGTGTTTATATGTAATAAATTTGTCCGTGGTTTAAGTAGTTGGAAGAACACAGGATGTAATGTGAACTTCAGAGCCCAGGGTGAAAAATCAATTGTATTGACCAAGTTCTTAATGTAGATGGAAACAGTGAGCACGAAGGAGTCTGTAAAGTCCACCCATCTATGGATTCTGTAGCAATCCACCTTCCCTACAAAGGGAAAACGGTCATGTAATATTTTGGCCTTAGTCCTGCACACACTCCTGAACATGAATCATGTTGTGCAGATGATTTTGTTTAAACCTTGGTGTTCTCTGAATGGAAGGATTGCTTGCAGGAGCAGTGCAATAGTTTTGCAATTCAGATGTTACAAGTGAGAAAATACTGTTTAAGTTGAATTATGAGCAATAATTTATTCATGTTACAAGTTCAAACAGTTAAAGCTATCTGGAGTGTTACAATGCATCTGCATCAGGAAATGTGCTTAAAACTGCATGACTGGGAAGGGATATATAATCATACAAATTATGACAGTTGAAATGAATGCACATGAGGGATGGTATTAAGGCTGGATGACTGAGAAATTAGAAAGATTTGCAGGAAATGTGATCTTCCTGTATTGCAAGAAACGCCCTGATTTCTTTCATGTGATCAAAGAACAGTTGTAGTTCACTGATGCTGAACTGTATGGCTCATAGCCTGCAGCACAGATGGGATGGATCTGCTGAGCATTAAATAGACAGCATCAGAAACTGCAGTGAATCTGGAGTAAATCTGCTGCTGCTTTTTCCCCTTTTGAAGGGGGTTCTGCTTTGGCGGGGAGGGTGGACCTACAGGGCAGTGTGTCAGGAGCCTGGTGGCTGGAGACGTGGGCTCCCTGGGAAGAACATGTTGAAGCTCTAGATTGTGCTAGAAAAAAAAAAGTGATAAAAACAGTTAAAACAGTTTCCCTGGAAGGAGAAAAAGGGGAAATGAGAACAGCTAGAAACACCATTACTAGTCACCTTTTCCTGGACATTTTATTAGCCTGAAAGTGTGTGTTTGTTTGTTTGTTTGTTTTCCCCTGACAAAGAACTACCAAAAAAAACCAACAACATGCACACTCCGAGGGGTTGAGCAAACTGGTGCTTCTTGACCTGGTAAAGTGATTGTTTTCTGTTCTGGCAATGCAGAGTTGATGGCATGAGTGTGACAAGATGCTGAATGGGTAGGGGGCATCAGGGGGAAGGAAGATCTAGGGCACAGAGCTCACTACACTGTTTTGTAATGTAGAGGAAGATGATGGCTGAGGTTGGGCCAAGCCTCGGCAGGCCTATTTTCTAGGCTTCTGCATATTTAGTAATGTTCTGGGTTGTTTCAGGTCTCCTCAGCTGACTCAGGGTTTGTGGGATAAAAGAATGGAGGGGTTCTGATTTTAAAAGTGTAATCTCGGTTATGTTGTTTAACTTTCTTCTTGATTATTAATGGACTACAAAGTCCCAGACCCTTCTCATGTTACAGAATTTCATTATTCTACTTCTTTCAAATACAAAACAGTGTTTTTCTTCAAGATTTGTGTTTTCTGAGTCCCTGGATTCCTTTTGCCTTGATGTGGAAGCTCACACTTGCATAGCTGCAGCTTCAACTTGCTAGAAACCACTTATTATATTAAAACTCAAAAGCAAAGACCCCAGTTTTGTAAATGTCTTACTAGACTGTTTTTTTATGGTTGCATTTATAAATTAGCATGTTACTAATTTGTGCTAACAAAGTAGGGCCTTGAGTGCTCATCGTATGCAGAGTTCTAGGAAGCTGAGCTTGTTCAGTCTGGCAAAGAGGAGGCTAAAGGGAGGTCTAGTAGCTGGTTGCAACTATTTGAAGGATGATTATAAGGAGGAGAAAGCCAAAGTCAAAGGGTGGCAAATAATAAAGAAACAGGCAACAGCCATGAGCTGCAGTTTGGCTCATGTTGGACATAAGTACAGACTTCCTTCCTAGGAAGGTGATGCAGCCCTGGGATGGATCTCATGGGTCAGAGGTGCAGGAGTTCCGTTCTTTGTTGTTTTCCAGCCTCAGCTAAGCAAAACACTGCTATAGTCTTTGTAACACTCCTGATTGCAAGTAGGAGATTGAACTAGACACCTCTGGAGGTCCCTTCTAACCCATTCGAAATATGATTCAAGACCAGCTTTTGCTTGGAAAAAGTTATGGAGGTTGAAGTGATCAATAGGCAGCTTACAACTGCCTTTTCACCCTATCGTGGTTCAGTTTTTAATTACCTCTGCATGGCCAGGCTTGTGGCTGTAGCTTAAAACATCAGTATCTGCATATGCTTTGTTAAGTACTTATAAATGTTTTTAGAAAGTCATGGTAAAAATTACCAGGGAAGTTGGACCAGAGACCTCCAGACATATCTTCTAAGTTAAATTATGGTATGTTTCCAGGATTCTACCCTTTTATTTTACTATAAATGTAGTAAAAGGCAAAACATAACTTACACAGTTGATCCAAAACAAGTTCTAAAATTCAATGTTTTTCCAAAAGTTTTGTGTGACCTGGTAGGCTCTTTCCCAGATTGCAAGTGAGATAGAAGTATGCACGACCCCATTGACATAAAGGACTTTCATGTATATTCATGGCAATGCTGCATTAACCTGGATTTAGAGACAAACTGCTGTAGAGCTGGACCTTGACAGATGAGAGGAAAGGTTTGGGGAAGGTGCTTTATAGCAGAAACATCTTCAAGTTGTCCTGCTATACAGGGTCACTTCCTTATGTTCCAGTGTGAGGACAGAGAGATAAGGGAGGACTCTGGGTCCTTGTGTGGGCACAGGCTGTGAGACTGGTCCCTGTGGAGGGTGGAAGCAGACCAGCTCCAACGTGCAGCGAGCAACTACAGAGGATCTGTGTTGCTCCTGGCCCGTCATCCCAGACTGGGGATTCTGGAGCTGTGGGGAGTCCAGCAGGCAGGATGGAGGGTGTTGTAGACAGTTGTCTGTGCAGAGGCAGAGCCCGGGAGGGAGCTCATCCATGCCTTTCTTGCTTTCTGCTGCATTGCTGATTCATCTGATTGCCTTTGCCAGAAGACCCATTGCTATTGTTTGCTTCCTATCCTTGCTTCTCTGCAGACCACAGTCGCTGCTTCATACCGCTGTGCTGGGAGGGAATCCACTATAACCCTGTCTCTCTTTTTAATGCATATTTCCTCTCTTTTTTTCCTTTGCTTGTCCTGGCTGTTGCTTTTCTCGGGGGCTGGGTACAGATGGATCTTTGTGATACTGACAGCGATGAGGAGATTCTGGAGAAGATACTAGAGCTCCCACTTCAGAAGAACCACAGCAAGAAATTGTTTAGCATCCCTGAAGTGACTGAGGATGAGGATGAAGATGAGGATGAGAAGGGTGTTATGGAGGAAAAGGCAAATGTTCAAGACTCCTTGGAAATGCCTACCTACCATGCAGGAAGGACCGAGAAGCCACTCAGCATCCAGGAGCCATTTCTAAAGGCAGACGGTAGTGATTCTTCCCCAGATCTGTCCGCTGAGACCCCATGGGATGAGTGTACTGTTAAGGAGAGCAGAGGGGATGCTGACCATGAGAGCCCTGGGTTTGAGCCTCTGGGCTGGAGTCAGAAAAGGGCAAACTGGAACCGGGGCTACCAGGAGAATGATCCAAAGCCTGGGACTGGGGCAATCCCCACTCAGAGCAAGAAGAAGGGAAACAACTATCGAGAGAAGATCTGGAGTCAGCCTGAGATGGGTAGGAAGAGACAGAATGATCTCTCAGAGCATTGCAGTCGTCTGCTGGGCAACTGCAGCCAGATGGGAAGTAGATTGTACAGAGCTCCTAGCCTCAGGGAAGAGCTGAACATAGTGAGCAGCGCTGGTGGTAAGGAGGGGTTTGATGTGTACAATCGAGCCAGACAAGGAACCTCACGAAGAAACCACACGAATGCAGTGGTTTCAGGGTTTGGAGAACCAGCTTTGGCAGCAGCACTCTGCTCCAGCCCCAGGAGCCTGGAAATAGATGTTGAATACGACTCTGAAGACGATCAGGATTCAACCTGTGCATCTCCCCCTGAGAGCAGGCTGTGGCCAGAAAGGTCCCAGAGCTGTGCGGGGGATTGGAGTGATTGCTCCAGTCAATCTGAGGTTGTCCACATGGATGGCAGAAGGGACCTGACCAGACTGGAGATGTTGGAAGAGCAGGACATGGAGTGGGCTGGGTATCCAAACCACCACCTGCAATTCTTCTGCCAGGAGAAGGAGGCACTGAGGTGTGAGAGCAGCTCTGAGGAGCAGGGCTGGGATCTGGACTGTAAGTCACCTGTCTGGAGAAGGAGGCTCGAACATCCTTGGAAGGGGATACGTAGCACCTCCTTGCACAAAAGGGTTGGGTGACTTTTCCTATTCTGGTTTTGAAGCAGCTTGCAGTGGCGTTAGCTTCCCTTCTGCTTCCCTGGCCTGCCTGTATCTTGCTTTGTTCAGTGTTGTCCAGAAAAAGGACCCTCTAGGACCGTCTGGAAGAATATCTGGGAGATTCTGTAGTTCTGTGCTGCTTCGTGCCTTTTCTTGTATTAGCTGCTTCTGCTTTTCCTGCTAAATGACTGAGTGTCACCGATGCAGTATTCCTTTTCGCACTGGGTCTTCCTACCTATAGCAGGAGGCTGTGGGACTCAAATGAGAATCCCTGGTGAAATAAGCTGATTTGTGAAAACTTTGTGTAGATGATGACTGTAATGTCATTGCCTTCATTTGAAATGCCCTTTCCTGCGTCCTTGCATCCCCGTTGTCAGGCTGGGTGTTTGCCTGTATTTAGTTCTCTTTTCCACCTCCCATAGTATTTTCAGCTCTAGAGTGTCCCTGAAGAGGAATGTTGCATTTGGATGCACTGCGCTTTGTGGAGTGCATTTAGGCTGAGCACTGTTCACGTGAGTTGGAAGGCAGAGGCTGCTACTAACTCTCTGGTGGTTCCTGTTGCAGGCGTCTGGTAATAAAGATCCTAGGGGCCAGGAGCTGTCTGGCTCAGCTGCCTGGCAGGCTCCCAGCAGAAGAGGGAACAGGAGTGTAAGAAGAAGTCAAATGCAGAAACCTTTGCTCTCTAGTCCAGGTGAGTGGGGAAGGAGGGGAGAGTCATGCAGCAGAAGAGGGGGAGGCTGTTGGAAATTGCATGGGGGAGGCTAATAGTATTTTAGCCATGCAGGTCTATGGCACGGAAATGGTGCTTACATTATATCTGGTGTGTCGCCTGACTACTTCCAGGTCCTCCAAGAAGTGCTGCATCAGCAACTGCTGTTAAAGATGATGGCATTAGAATATTTGTGGCCCTCTTTGACTATGATCCTGTTTCTATGTCTCCTAACCCTGATGCAGCAGAAGAGGAGCTCCCATTTAAGGAGGGGCAGATCCTGAAGGTAGGAGCAGATCTTAGTGAACATCTACTCTATATGGAGCCAACTCTTGTTCCAGGGACAGCATAAACTTTGGGAAGTGGAGCTTCCTCATCTTGGGAGTTTCCTTAGATTCCCTTTCTCTGTTGTCTTTGTGTCTTGGTCCCTGTAGTGTAAACAGTCCTTGGCCTGTCTTTTACCTTGCAGGTGTGTGGAGACAAGGATGCTGATGGCTTTTACCGGGGTGAATGTGCAGGAAGAGAGGGTTACATTCCATGTAACATGGTATCTGAAATCCAGGTGGAGAATAATGAAATCAAGAGGCAGCTGCTAAAGCAAGGGTTCCTTCCTGCCGACACACCAATGGAGAGCATAGGTACTGTATCTCCTTTATGTGTGTTGTGCCCTCATGCATCCTTGCTGAAAACTGTAGAAAGCTCAGTTGTGCTGTCAAGTTTTGTGGCCAATGCAGCCCACCAAAATGGCTCATCACCAGGGTCTGAATGCTTGTTTAGTGGCTACAGCGGTGGCAAGAAGGGATGTCTGAGATCTTGGTTCATACCAGATTCTAGAGTGGGACAGCACTGCCCAGAGCTGCATTTGCAGCTGCTTGAGTTGGTCCAGTGCTTGAAGTATTGTGCTTTTGAACTCCACACAGAAGCTGGTGAAGCTGATCCTCAGTAGAGGAGGAGGAACAAAAGTTTGAAGAGCAGCTGAAGTTTGTGAACACAGTTTTCACTTTTGTGCTCTCTTGTTTTGTGAGTTTGTAAATGAGCCTGTAGGCTCTTAGGTGACAGAATTTTCAATGTGGGAAAGGAGGAAGATGGGCAGAGACTCATAGTGAATGGTAGGAAGGGTTTGAGACAGCAAGGCAGTCAGGCAAGAGTGTACAATGGGTAGACCCTGGTCCGTGGGCTGTTTCTCACTCCCTGAAGTACATGGTTCAGTGGTTTACGCACTGCAGAGGCTTTCCTGTTTCTTTCCACTCATGTTCAGAGAGAGGAGAGGAATCTTCCCTGGGATTTGCAGCTATTACTGCTTGGGCTGGGTTAGACTGCAGTTGCAGGGCTGTGAGCTGCCCTGAGACTGCTGTCAACATACTGTGTCCCACCTGTCTGGCTTTTATCCCCCCGTCTCATCCCGTGCTTGTTTTTGTACTCTCTGCTACCAGTGACAATTCTTTGACCTTTTCCACTTGTTAAAACGAGAGGAAATTTGTGTTTTGGCCAGCCACCTTTTCCTCACCAGTTCAGCAGGCTGAAACAGCACACGTATGAGGTTTTTGGGTGCTTGGGGTGGCAAAGGACTGAGCTGTTCTCACAGACAGTCAAGGAAAAATGAAAAAGAAGCGATCAAACTTGTTTCTGTTCCCCTTCATTGAGACCTATTGTCCAGCCCTTGAGACTAAGGGTCTAATCATGCCCAGCTGCTAAATGTGGGTCTCTGGAAGGTGAGTCCTCATGAGCACAGGACTTGGAGGCAGTTGCTTTCACTTTGTGGCTGTGTGCTTTTTGGTAGGTTTGTGTCTGTTGGCCCCTCTCATGTCTACGGAGAGCAGAGATTTTACTGAGGCTTTTTTCACCCCTGGAACATTCATAATGTTTCTCTTGAATTTATTCCCTGGTACCCAGAGGTGATTTGATGCCTGTGGTGGGCTTTGTACCTGTCTGGATGTACAGGGCTCTCTGTTCCCTCCCATGTTGCATCCTCTCAGAATAAAAACCTTAATAGCTCTGAGACTGCATGAAACGTAGTGGATTTGAAAGTTTCCAGAAGAGTGGGGATAGTGAAAAAGATACGTGGGGGTGTGTGCAGAGATGGTAAACCTTGTTCCCTTACACAGCTGGGCTGTAAGTGCCTCAGTTTTCCTGCTGTTGTAAACTGGTATTACAGCCTGGTAATTGAGGGAATGCCTCTAAGGGGTTGGTCTGGGTACTCCTGCAGGCTCTGCTGGGGACTTTTCTAGGGATGTATGTGCTGGCTTCTATAGAAATCCTCCCTTTTCTGGAACTTCAAGGGACATGTTCAAGCATTGAAGAGCCATACAGGGGCAGTGGCTGTGTTTGAACATTTTGTACAATGAGAGGCTGAGGAATTGTGGCTTGTTTAGCTAGGAGAAGAGAAGGCTTGGAGTATGTGAAGAATGACTTCTGGCAGCCCTCTAGCACCTTAAAAGAGGTTAGCGAGCAGGCACAACCAGGCAGTTCATGGTACTGCATGGCTGAAGGAAAAGGGAAAATAATAATCAGTTGAGAGTTTTGATCAAATAAAAGAAACACATCTCTCACTATGAGGATAAATAAGCATTGGTACAGGACTCAAGAGGTGAGGGAATCCCTGTCCTGAGAGTTTTTCAAGACCCAGTGAGGCAAAGCCTTGAGCAGCCTGGTCCAAATCCAGTATCGACCCTGTTTTGTTCAGAAGTTTTAACAAGAGACATCCCAAGATCCCTTCCCACTTGAGCTGATGGGATTCACTTCACGTGGCATTTTTCAGGTATGAATGGTACAAAGGCTTTATTTTATCTTTGTGGTGCTGCTTCTGAAAGATAAAATGCAGCTAAGTGGCAAAGTTTGTCGGATGTGTACTGTGGCGTCAATTATGGGCAAAAATACAATGTGGAATTCTGTATATATCTAGGATGTGGATCATGCCTAGTCTGAGTACACATACAATAAATAGAGATTGGGGCCTTGTGCACAGAAATCACAGTGTCTGCTTCCCAGGGGAAGCATGTCATGCCACTCTGTTGCGTGTTCACTCTTCAAGATGCTTTTCACTTTCCATTCACTGTCTGTTTCTCTTGTCTATTTATTTGCTTTTTTTGGGTTTTTATTAAGGAAATGGCACATTTTCTCCACCTCCACGCCGCCAAACCGTCCCTCCTCCAAAACCCAGACGCTCCAAGAAAGGTCTGTGTCACCCACTGCTTCCTCTTTGTTTCTTGCAATAGGATTACAGACTGCATTGAATTTTTACTGCTTGCTTACAGGACCCTCAGATGTTTGTCTCTGTACGACTGCTAGGAAGTGGAAAGAGATTCCATCCCTGCTGATGTTAAGTTTTTTTAACAACAGTAATGTCTTTTATAGTTTTGGAGCTTGACCTCTGCGTCCTATTACATCCTTGAGTCATGGTTACTGGCTTAGACTTTGAGTTGCATGAACAGTTTGCTTCTGTTTTTTGCTGCTGTGGCGTTTGTTCTTTTGATTGTTGTTTGTCAGTTATGTGGTGTGGACACTGTTGAAAGATGAATATCCATTGATAAGATGTTTTCTTTCCCCAGCAGAACTGGATAAACAGGAGAAGCACAAGTCTCAAACAGGTAAGAATTGCTCTTTCTTACTATAAGAAGGGGAATGTTACATTGGCATGATCATAATACAGACACTAGTTTTGTGGTCATGGGCCAATCCAACATCCTGTATCACAGAATGGTTGAGTTTGGAAGGGACCTCTGGAGTCTACCTAGTCCAACCCCTCTGCCAAGCAGGGTCACCTAGTACTCATTGCACAGGGTTGCATCCAGGCAGGTTTTGACTATCTCCAAAATGGAGACTCCACAACCTCTATGTTCCTCAACTCCACAACCTGTTCCAGTGCTCTGTCACCCTTACAGCAAAGAAATGTTTCCTCATATTCAGCCAGAACTTCCTGCATTTCAGTTTGTGCCCATTGCTTCTTGTCCTGTAGCTGTAAGTCATCATTCAGAGCACTGTAAGAGAATGGTCATTCTCAGAAAAGAAGAGTTGTAGTTCTTTATTAGTGACTGCAGTGGCCTTTGACTAAACAAGGGATTGTTTGGAGGAGAAGGGCACACATGGTTTTGCTTTGCAAGGGCAGGGTAATCTCTCATTCATCTGATGCTGCGATCCTTAAAATCCAAGGTCCCATGAAGGAGTTCTCTCTATGCTTAGGTGCTCTGTGATTTATTGATGTCAAGAGAGTTCAAGCCTGCAAACACCCTGCTAACCCATACAATGGATCAGATCTGTAAGATGAAGGACTGGACAGTTTGTGTTTTCTGTCGTGTCAAGCTTTGCTTTTGTAGAGTCAGAGCAGGTCTTTAATGGGGCTGAGCAGGTAGGTGGTTGTAAAAATGCAGGGTGTTGCCTGCACTTCCCTTTGTGCTGAGCTTTGTGCTGGTGTGGCTGGACTGCCTGTTGATGTTGTTTAGGGTCTTGCTGTTTCCTTGGCACTTACTTATTCCTCAGGATAATTTTTACATGTAGAAAAGAGAAATATCCATTTGAGACACTGTAAAGAGACTGCTGTCTTGTGTGTTTGTGTCTGTTAGTATATTAAAAAATAAATAAATAAATAAAATTCCTGTATATATAGGCAGGATACCAGGATACTGCAAGTGAGAGATGTCACTGGTTCTGTGAGTTAATGCAGGAGATCAGAAATCTGCTTTATCAGATTATCTCAGGGTCCTCTAAGATCTCTTGCTCATTCAGTTTCCCTCTTGTATTCATTTTATTCAGTTTACTCCCAAGAAGAGTGAAGAGCTGCTGTGACTTGGTATTTTGTCCTTTGGCTTCCAGCTCAGCATGTTTTGTTATGTTTTTGTCCTCCAGGACAGAAGCATCAGGACTTTGAAGCTGAACTACTTACTCCTCGAAGTATGATGGCTGTCTTTGACTATAATCCTAAGGAGAGCTCTCCAAATGCAGATGCAGAGGTAACCAGCAGCTGCTCAGTCCTCCAATACCTTTCTTTTTCCACTCTTTTTTTCTTTTGTCCTGAGACACTTAAGACATTGGTCTTAAGACAAAGATAATTATAATTGGTCTTAAGACTAAGATAATTATAGCATGGCAAAATAATGACTAAAACTGTTTGGCTGAAGTCATAAAATATAAAGTTTGCCAGTAAATTCTCTCATGCATTCCCTAATAACAGTGGTCAGTTATTATTCTGTGAAGAGTATGAAACAACACACCCCTAATCATTTTCAGTATTTGTCTCTGTGAAGCTATTAGAGCATCTTATGGCCTTGTAGCATCCTGTAAGTGTTTAGACAGGACTAAACAGCCCCAGCTGCTAGCAACTGTACGGGGCATCCTGTGGTAAATGGAAATACCCGATTAAGGGTCAGAATTGATTTCTGATACTTATGGTGAATGTGTCTTTATGGAGCATGTCTTTTGTGTTAGCTACCTGTGTAGGTCTTTGTTCAAGCAAGAACACTTAATTCCAATTTAATGGACCAGTCCTCTACGCTCAGCTTTTCAAGCAGTCTCTACATATAATCCAAACAGTGATTCTGTGGATAAATATGTTTCTGATGGAAAGATTGTAAAACAAAATCCTTCCAGCAAAAAAGACTTTCTGAATTAGAACATGCTCTGTTTCTGTTCCTCTGTAGCAGCATCAGTCTACTCTGAGCAAACATATACATGGAAAGAATCTGAATACTAACCCCATAATTAGTAAAAAGAATGTATGGCCAAGAGGTGGCACAATACAGGTAATGCTTGACACCCAGTCTGTGTGTTTTATGAACAAAAGAGCCTGCTTCTGAGGACAGAGTATTTTGGGTTTAATGGATTATTTTAGGAGAGAGACAATAAAAACATGCATCAACCAGCATTTATGTAGGTATTCACACATCTGACTGAAGAATTTTTTTGAGCCCTTGTCAACAAGGTGCTGTTGACATTGCATTATTAGAGGTGTTCCCCATTCTAACTCACAGGAAATTTGGTCACTTGATTTGCTGGAAAGCTGCATTTGGTGTTTCTGAACCTGCAGCAACACCTAATAGGATCAGCTGTGCAGTTCTCTGTGAGTGAAGTTCCCTAGAAGTTGTTTTCTGCTAGGACAAAGTCATTCACTGCCATCAGTAGGAACCTGAACCTGCAGCCTCAGGAGAGAAATCGAGTACTGGGAATTAAATAAAGTAAATATATCAGAAGTAGGTCTCTTTGAGCCAATGCTTCCATTGGTCTGGGAATTGCATGTAAAGACGTCTTCAGTGGGTCTTGCCCATTATGCAGCCTGTTGAAAGATTCCACCTCTTCTATCTTAGAGCAACTGTTTCACTGTAACTGGGGGGATTCCTTCCGTTAGAAGAGAATTCCTATATCCTTGGCCTTGGTCTTGTGCTCCAAGGAGTACCCTGAGCATTGCATACAGAACAGTCATCTGAGGTAAAGGGGGATTTAGTGTTTATATTAAAAGGAAAAAAAAAAAAAAAAGGCATTTCTGGTGCTTGTTTAGTTTGTTCTTTGCACCCCTTTCTATAACAGGTGGTAGGTACCATTTTGAAGTTCTATTAAAATTGGTTTACGAGACAAATTTTGCTCTTATCCTACTTTATGAAATGCTTACTCAACAATGAATTCCACAGTTTCCAAGGTTGGTTGTTCTGCATTCTGTTCCTGCAAGTCTTATCACAATGGCCTCCCTCACTCATGGTGAGATTGTGTAAGCAGCCCAGGGCAACCTTGTGAGAAATTCCAGGCAGTGCTCCTCCTGTGACTATTGTTTCCTTTTGTTCATTGCAGGCTGAACTGACTTTCAGCGCAGGGGACATTATCACTGTGTTTGGGTCCATGGATGATGATGGATTCTATTACGTAAGTATTGGGGTTGGCTGGGTCCTTTGGCTACGTCTGAAATCCTTGGATTCAATCTAGTGGCAGGAGAGCAAAAATTAGGGGACAAAATATTCTGCTGCTGGAACACATGAACACATGCCTCCTTAGAATAAACAGATTGTTTCTTGCAGTCCGTGTTCTCCTCTAAACCTAGTATTCCAAATGGTTCTGAGTTTCTTTCTTGGACTAAATTGACTGCAGGTTTCCCAAAGCCTAAGATGTGTTTACTGCACATACATTAGTTGCATCAGCATCTGCTACAAGCTGATTTGTTGCCAAGGACTCTGACACATGGTCTTAACCAGGACAGGAGGCTAACATATAAGAACAAAACCTATGCTGATCCCCATCCTGCAACACATCAACAAACCAACTTCAACAAACATTGATATCTGTTTAATTTACTGTGGATAGCTGGGGACCGTGCCTGCCAGCAAGCTGTGTGTTAGACATGTTTCTTAGCCCTTGGATCATCCCTCTTTTCCTGCACAGAAAACAGTATGCATTCATACATCAAAGTTGAGGTGCACCACTAGATGAAGTCTGGAGGCATTGTTAGGAATGTTTTGTTTGACTTCCTTCATGGCGTTGGTCAGACAACATTGCTGGGGTTGTTTTGTCTCACCCAGCTACCTCTTGTTGAAATAGAGACAAATTTTTGGAAAGACAGCCAAGCTTGGTTTGCAGCTCCAGATGTCAGTGAGCATAGAGACAAGGCCTACAGGGCATTGCACTAGCAGTACTTCATTCTTTAAAAAATTAAATACCAGAACAAATGAAAGGCCTTTAGGAATCCTGTGGCACAATCATGTTCCAGTTGCTTCCAGGTTATTAGTAAAATTTTTTTGAGTTTATAAAGTGCAAATAGTCTTCATAGTCTACAACTTAGAGGTGTCTGTCCATGCTGCTGGAATACATTTGTCATAGCTTGCCATCATCTTTTCTTCCTTTACACTCATGTGTTTTTGCATTTTGAATTGTTCCACAACTAAGCAAGAATGTGAGTTGTGAAACTTACTGAGGATGCTTCCAACATGAATGTGCTCCTGGGCTTCTCTCAGGCCATAGCATAGCCTTCTTGGAATAGGGCTGCACCTCTATTTATTTTTCCATCAGCCAGGAAACCTGATACGGGAACTAAACGTTGATCTTTCAGGGAGAGCTGAACCAACAGAGAGGGCTTGTCCCATCAAACTTCTTGGAAGCTGTAACTTCAGATGGAGGCATGGTTGAGGAACTTCATTCAAAAGATAAAGATGCTTTTCCACCAAGTTCTGAGAGCCAGGTAAGATTGTGAGACTCTGCATAGTACAGACATCCAAGCTGTGACATGGTTGGAGAGTGGGTGTTGCACAGCATGCAGCATCTGATGGAGTGATTTAAATTATTGCATGTAGCTTGATTCATCCCATGGGAGTCCAGAACTTTAGAAGGGAGCACCGGGAGCTCTTCTTAAAGACAGTATAGTACAAAATGAGACACAAAGCAAGAACATTTTCTGGGACCTTGTGCTTGTTATTGTCATGTGAGCAAAGAACATCACAGGTCCCACCAGCAAGTTCTTCAGATGCACACAAAGGTCAGTGGTGAAATCCTGCTGCAAGCAAAGCAGTTCAGCCAGATCCCCAGACACATGAAATTCCTCATATTTGCTCATATCCATGCCAAGGAGTTCTGGAGTTATTGACACCTAAGCACCAATGCTTTTCCACCCATCCCAAGTTAGATGTATCTTAAATCTGTCCAAGGAGTATTCAGGAAAAAAACAAAACAAACAAACAAACAAAAAAAAACATAGAGGGAAGGATCAAACAGATCTGAGGAGTGGATCCACAGGCTAAGGCTATGGGAGCAACCCACAGATGCAAGGGGTTCAAAGGTTGGGCTATCTCCCTTGCATTATGTTTCTGATACTTTTCAAGCAAATGCTTAAGCAGGACACTGGGGTCATCTGCCAGATTCAGTCAGTCCTCAGAAAGCAAGGCCAAAAGTGTGACACCTCTCTGGTCACTGCCTGTGCTGTGGCATTCTAGACAGTGGGAGGCAGGGAGTGACACAGCCTCGTCCCAGTTCAAATGTACTTATTCCTCAACCTTCAGTTCTTCACGGAGAGGTTATTATACAGGCCCTTAAAAGTTTGGAAGAGCAGGCCTAGATTGGCTTTGAGGCAATCCTTAAGGAAGTATGCGGTCCTAAATCCTCCTCTGTCAAACTCTTCACTGGTGTCACCCTCGCTTTCCATCTGTCTGCAGTGTCATTTGTCTTATTTTTCATTCCCTGCTCCTCCTTTACTCACTTCCCACTTACCTTTCAAATGCTGCCTGGACTTGCACAAGCTCTACCTACAGCCCCCTCTTTTGCTTCCAGGCATTTGAAGCTTTGTTGGTGTAATGTTTGTCCCACAGCCTCAATGTCTTCTTATGAGGGAAAGTGGAAGGACAGCCTCAGAAATAAGATTTGAGGGTAGTTGGCTGGATCATCTTCTAAACCCAGAAGTGGTTTTGGACCCTTATGTTTGCCTGTTTTGGATACTCAGTTACTTTGATCTCAGCCAACAAGGGCTGGTCCTTGCTGAGCAATCAGAGAAATTAATGAGCTGTTACTACCAGGGTTTAGCAGCTATGAGCTTACAAGATGCTCCTCCTTGATGCTTTACAGTTTGCCACTGCTCCTCTCCTCTCTCCGCTTTCCATTGTGGCTGGGTTCAGCAGGAGGTGATTGTTCACCTGGACACAGCAGTTTGGCCCATATATCCTTGGATGCTCAAAGCTGTATTTTTTTTTTTGTGATTCATGACACCTTTTTTAAACAGGAATACCTCTTGAACATGATAAACCCTCCTAATATAGACCTGTTTCAGGCTTGCCTGGCCTTCAGTTCATTTGTGTTTCTATGCCAGAGATGCAACAGAGCTTTTCATTGCATTTGATCAGACTTGGGGTTTGCAGAGCGGGAAGCCTTAGGCCAGGATAGATTTGGTAGCTTTGTCACTTGGCCAATCCATGAGCTGCTGTTCCTTGTGAAGTCTGGGAACTTGGAAAATTCAGTTCTTGATGCTTAAGCCAATTTTGTATCACTGGGAGTCAACATTAACTATGCAAGCATGACTTTCTGTTGTCTGTTTCTATGTGGTGGCAGACAGTTTCCTGTCCTGCTGCCTTCCTGCTTCACCAGCACACCTGTCCTTGGTGATTCTGGCTTAACAATCTAATTATGTGCAGTCCTGCTTGTGCTTTGCAGTCCAGCTCCATCTAAACAGCTTCCAAATAGGAAGGGAATGTTTGCCCCCATGTAAAACAGTATATTTATCCTGCTCATAATGAAGCTTGTACTAGATAACTGCATTTAGTTATGTTTAGTGAGTCCTGAGAAGAGACCTGACCCACTGAGTTTTTGGCTGTGTCATCAGTTACAGCATCCTGACCTATGAGCAAAACACTTGAAGGGTAAGGCAAGAAGAAACATGTTCTCCTATAGAAAACATATTTTAAGGGCCATCCCCGAGCTGTCATAAACTGAGTGATACAGCCAAGCATGAGGCTTTCCAAACTCTGTCATATTCATTCTGCAGAGTTTATGAACATGCTAGTTAAGTGTGGTTTTGGCATGTATATGTAGGCAGAACACATACAGCTGCTCCTGTTTGGGATGAGACGGGGCGGGAGAACAGGGCTTATGCAAAAAATCACCAAAGACAGAAGATGCATGGCAGCCTCTAGAGAAGTATTGTTTGAATGTTCTGGGACACAACATAGCAAAAGTCTCCCAACAAATTTGCCAGTTTCATCTTGAGACCTAACACATCAGCAAGCATGCATACTCACCATGGTATTAACATCAGAGCTTTGGATTGTATTAAAGCTAGTTCCAGTCTTAACAGAAGCTTCTCCAGCATGACCACGAATGATTTTAAAATTGCCTGTAACTTCTTGGATTTAAAATTTTCACCATGTATGTTCTTCCCATTTCCCTTCTCCTTGATGCTATGCCAAAGGCCTGAGGGTAAGGACAATTAACTTTCCAAATTGAACTGGGGAAGGTGAATTATTAGAATTATTTTTGAGTAAATCTTAAAGTGCTGGCATCTGAAAAAGGTAAAGCAGTTTGACTTTCAAAGTAACGTCGTTTTGGTATTAGACTGAGCAACAAAAAATGCAGTACAAAGAGGAGTGTCCAAGAAGTTATGATCACAAACTAGGGCGCTGAAGCACTCATGTTCACCAGCTATGAGCAGTTTACCTTAATGCTGTGGCTATTGAATGAATATTTTTGCCTCACTAATATGCAGTTTTTGTCAAAGACCGTTTGTAAAACAACTTCAGAAAGTATTCAATTCTAATTGATTTCATGTATTTATTTCTGCCGTGGTGGTTCTTTTCTTCAGAGAATGAGGAAGAGAAGAGTCCAGTGATAGATATGAATGATACATAGAGAGAGAGAGCAACCATGTAAGTTTGTGTGAGAAGATCTCTTCAATTTCCCACCCAGCTTAGCCTATTAAAGGGTCCTGCACTTGCAATTTACTCCTGTTCTTGCTTGTAGTTTGACAGGCTGGTTTGGGGCTCTGCTATCAAGTCCAGCTTCAAACCCTCTGGTGGCAGATCTTTACCTGCCAAGTTAGTTCTGTATTAAAGAGAAGCCACGTTCTGCACATGAAGTACAGTTTGGAACAATTATCTGGTGGTTTTGGGGACCATGATGGGACTGTAGTAGTACTGGATATTCAGGTTTAGAAAAGACCTGCTTTGAAATTCAGCCTTGCCATTCTACCACTGTTCAAGCACCTGAGCAACAAGAACCTCATGTAGCCATTGCAGAAATCCTGCTCAGGCTGAGCACCCATGTTCAGTCTGTGTTTTTTTTTCACTTCTTGAAATGCCCCCATACACCATCAACTTAAGAAAGTAGCAACACTTAGTCCCTAAAACCAACCTAGTCTGGATAATTGTTCTGTCTGACAATTTTGGGGTTGGGGGGTGAGACCCCTGGTTTTGGGTGGCAGTGGGAGGAGATCTGTGGTTTTTCTTCCTTTCAAACATTGTTTTCCAGAAGTTATACAAGTCAATAATACTAGAGAGAGCATTGAAAAGTGTCTCCTGAAAACTAACGTGACTCTTCAGTTTATCAACCCCAATAGTTTTATCAGGATCTTCACAGAATCACAGAATGGTTTGGGTTGGAAGGACCTTTAAAGATCATCTAATTCTAACCCCCCTGTTCTGGTCAGGTACACCTCCCACTAGATCAGGTTGCTTAAAGCCCCATCCAACCTGGCCTTGAACACTTCCAGGGATGGGGCATCCACAGCTTGCCAGAGCAGTTTTTCCTTTAAGTTTCTCTTAGAGAAGAATCCCTTGTTTTTCTTGTTACTTGTATCTGACCAGATGAATCTGTGAACTGGTTCTGTTGTTTTTCTGCCATACAAAGACCTGTGAGAATATCTGCACATACTTGTGTGTGAGTGCCTCTGTGTATAAAGATCTGCATGGGCATCATGTACCATAGCTGGAAATAAGAAGGACTTGCAGCCACAAAGGCTGGAAACTGCTAGTCATTTCCTTTTAACCGTTTGATGTTTGATAATTATATTGATACTGTGCTATCCTTATTACAGTAAATAACTGTGTCATTCATGAATTGATCTGGGTACCTGCCGCTCATTTTGCCTGCAGTTTTTCATGCCTAGCTCAGCAGGAGAAAGTGTGTAAGGTTTGTTGGGCCCCTTCAGATCTGCCCTAAAACTGTTTCACTTTGCCTGATAAATGTTATCCAGCAGTACATGGGCTCCAAGCCTTTGCTGCCCTGGCTGTGCAGGGACCTTTACATTGCCCCCACATCTTCTGGTTCTGCTAAGCCAGACAGACCAAGGTGTGAACTTCATATGGAAGGTTGTTTCACAGCAGCATATTGTTCTACAGGAGGAGCAGAAATCACAGCTACTTTTCACGTTCTTCATCACAGAGGAGGTGGGCTGCTGAAACAGCCATGGGGTGATAGAGTGGGGCTGCATTTGCTTGTAACCTTAGGAAACTTTAAATAAGTGAACCGACAGCACATAAAGTCCTATAGCTATGGCAGTGATGGTATGTCTGTGCATCTGCTTCATTCAGCAGTGTTCACCAGGAGCACTATGGGACCAGAGCACATCTACTCCTGCCAGTGAGCTACAAGCAGCTGCTGCTGTGGTTCTGACACATTTCATCTGCAGGGCTCGTCTTTGCTCTTCAGCAATGCTTCCTCCCTGGGTGGGGCATCCTTCTGCCTTTGTTACTAACTCAGTTTCCCTGATGGAGCTGTGGCTGCTTACAGATCCTTAATGAGTATGCACTCAACTCTCCCTGACTTAGTGGGACCCAAGCAGAGCCAATATTTCAACCTGCCAAGGGGGCTCTTCCTTGGCACAGCTCTAGCACATGTCATGGGTTCTGGGGACTGCCAAGGTAGGATATACAGCAGGGAGTCTAGAAAATTAGTTCTCTGTCAGGCACACGAAAGCTGTGTGGAAGAGAAGGCAGTGGGACAAGGGCTCTCCTAGGCTTCAGCAACCCAGAACCTCTTCCCTGGTGAACTTGGCAACTTCTTGGGAAAGTGTGCCATGCCAGAGCAGAAGTGGTCACAATCCATACACCGAGGAAGAGGAGATTGTGTAAAGCAGAAGTCTTCTGCCAGAAACTGACCTTACATCAGCATGTTCTGAAAAGAAAGCTGAACCCAGGACCGGGGCACTTTGTGATTTCCAAAAGGAGCAGCATACAGTGAATCATTTGGAGCTGTAGATCCTAGTTAATATTCTGAAATACTCAGGTTGCTTAAGAACACAGGTTGCTTTGTGCCACATGATTCAAGACTTCCCTGTGTCCTGCTCCATCACCACGTTCTTGTTTTTTTTTCCATTGTTGGAACCGTTGGAGAGAATCAGACATGCTTTCTGCCCCTCCTGTAATTAGATTTGATGGATGCGGAGCAGCCTTGCAAGGGTCTAAATTTCTGACCCTGACAGAGCACAGTCACTGTTACAGAAGCCTCCCAGCTTAGCCAGCCTACTTGAACTTCTGAGGTCTTGCACAGCCCTTGTTCTTACCAGGTTGTTTTTCTTAATGGCCTATCCCAGAGTGTGCCGGGAGCCCACCAGTCTCCCCTGGCCGCAAGCAGCCAGCAGGCATAATGGGATGCATCGTTACCTTTCTATCTTTGCACTGAGAAGGTGCTTAATGTAGTATTTTCAGCTGTGAAGCAACATCTTTCAAGAGGTCCTCAGTGGAGGCATTTCTGATGTTGCCCAAAGTTAAAGTCCAAAGTTAACGGATTTTGGAATATCTGAGGTCAGGCAGTGTGTTGGGAGTATAAAACGCTTTACTGGAAACTTCCTAACTGATTCTGCAGCTGCACAAAGGAGCTGAGCCTTGCAGGTTGTGGGACAGACTGGTGGGGAGAATGCAGGGTTCTCTGGCTGAGGTTTGTGTGGGCATCATGTCCTTCTTCAAGTCTAACTTCTACTTTCTCTTTTTTTTTTTTCTTTCTCTTTTCCTGCTCAGTTAAATCCAGATGGATCTGTTGATCAAAGCGACTCCTCACCAACTCCTCCTACTGAACCACCTTCCTGCCTTGCCACAGGCGAGCAGTGTCCAGAGCAGGCATCGCTGGCTATTCTCAAATGCAGTGATTTACCTGGTCAGAGTAAAAAGAAGAGAGGCTTCTTCTTCAAAGGAAAAAAGCTCTTCAAAAAACTTGGGTCCAGTAAGAAAAACTAATAAAGGATTTACTGTTAGGTGTAGGCTGCCTGTGCAGTCCACACAGGCACTGAAAATTGAGGAGAAGCCCTCTGCAATAAGCTGATTAGAGTATTTTCATAGGGGAAAAGTGTATATTGAATAGAGAAAACTCTTCAGTGGGTCTGTGAGCTGTGGTCTCTGATGAGAGCCCACTGGCAGTGACTCTGAACAGTGTCACAGCACTGAGGTGTGTGAGGCCTCAGCTCTAGGATAAAGCTAACTCCACATTAGTGTGTCCTGCTCCATGCAGCCCTCAATGCACCAATTCCCTGTAAATATTTTAATTTTAAAAATATATTCTGACTGTAAGTTAGCTAAATGGCTTTTCCCAGCAAAGCCCCAGCCCCTTAGGAAGAGCTCCCTTGTACTACACCCCTTGGTATTTCTCTGGTCCAAAGGAGGTTGTGTCAAGTCCTTCACTTCCTGCAAAGAAAAATTGCACTCTTCTGTTGCTGTGAACCCTCTTTGCTGTCTCTGGGCTGAAAAGTGAGTTATTTGTACTGTAAATATGCAGCTGTGCCTAGGAGCATCCCACACTGCCTCAGTCATGTTTCAGCGTGAGGATTCTTTTCCAACCTTAATGATTCTATGATTCCCGTGGAGGAAGGAGCGATACCCAGAAGGGGGTCGATACTTCCACTTGTAGCGTGGGCTGCTGTAAGCTGCTCTTGGCTGGTTCACCTTGACCACACACTGGCTGGGGACTCCGCCTTATTTATTTATTTATTTATTTGTTTGTTTGTTTGTTTATTTATTTATTTATTTATTTTGTCCGACTCATTCACAGTTTTATTTGGCTGTTTCAGTGGGCTGCTCCTCAGTTGGAGCTTGGATGGAGCGTAGAGCTGGGGATGGAGAGTTTGCAGCTATTTTCATATGAGATGTGTTCCTTCAGTTAAGACACATCCCTTCCTAAGCCACGGAGAGTTTTGTACGACATGGTTTCTACCCTTTTCAGTGTTTCTTTCTTTGCATGTTTCAATGGGGTACATGTTTTGAGAAAGACAGTTACGTGAGGTATGTGAATTATGCCAGCACAGTGTCCACAAGTGTTGGTGATAAGGTATGTTTTTATTTAATATCAAATTTTATTATAATAAAGTCTATTTTCACAAAAATACATTTTCCTTAAAAAAGCAAAAGATTCATTGTTGCTTATTTGGGGGGTGGAAGTGTGGTATGTTTGATATGACAGTGTACCACTATTTTACTTGGTGGACACAGTCATAAAGTTGCTTTAGCTATGAATGCTTGCAAGGTTTTCTTAGAATATCTGAAGCAGACGTAAGTGATGATGGTCCTCAGCAACCTAGTATTAAGGCCTGCTGGGTCTCTTTTGAGTCCCGAAAACATGTCAGACCCCATGTCTCCTCTGCCGTGGAGTTTTCCTCCCCTGACAGTTGTGACACTACCTATAGAGCTACAAAGGGTATAATTGTGTTAGAGAGTTTACAGAGGAGGGCAACACAGATGGTGAAAGGGCACGGCATAGGAGGAGCAGTTGATGTGGCTTGGTTTGTTCAGCTTAAAGAAGAGAAGGCACAGGGGTGACCTCATGGCGGCCTACATCTTCCACACCAGGGGGAGCGGAGGGGCAGGCACTGATCTCTTCTCTCTGGTGCCCAGTGAGAGGACCTGAGGGAACAGCAGGAAGCTGCCTCAGGGCAGGCTCAGACAGGAGCTGTTGGGAAAAGGCTCTTCACCAGGAGGCTTGTCAGGCACTGGAACAGGCTCCCCACGGAAGCGGTCACAGCACCAAAACTGCCAGAGGTCCAGAAGTGCTTGCACAAGGCTCTCAGACATACGGCTTAATTTTCAGGTAGTTTTGCGTGGAGCCACGAGTTGGACTCGATGATCCTGGTGGGTCCCTTCCAACTTGGGATAATTTTTGATTCTGTGATTCTAATCTTGGTAGCTAGTGCTGCCTGAAGTACCCTCCATGCTGTAACTTACCTTCCACTTACCCTGCCTGGAGGAAGTTGGTTGCTGTTCTAACTGAATTTACCATCTGCAGTTTCCTAAGCAAGTCATTTGAGGTCTTTTGAAAGAAACTGTCTGTTCTTGCACTTACCAGTTAATCAGGGGACTAACGGAAGAACAACGTCCTTAGATAAACAGCAGCTGTAACGTTTTGGTGTCTGCCCAGAGCTGGTGCCTGCAGGATGGCTCACTCGCTCTGGTACTGCCTTCATACCTCACAAGGTGAATGTTGTTTCCCTGCTCGCCAGGCGTGTGCTGGGCTGCATGCTACCAAATCACAGTTATATACACAGACTCCCATTGCATAGTGGAGTCATGCTAATTCAGTTGGATCCCCCAACACCAGGCAGGCTTTACAGCAAAGCTGAGAGGAGTCCTGAGAAAGGTTTAAGACCTTTAGGTCTTGGTAGGTTAAAAAAATAAATACAAGAAACAAAACAATTCTGCTTTGCACTTTTGGATTTGAATTGCTGCACTGTATCCCAGGTGTTGATGACACTCTTGGTGACATCCAAAGCTCTGGTTTCTTTCTCTGCCAAACTGTGCCCTTCCTTAGGTACTTCCCTTCAGTCTAGATCTGGATGCAAATGCAGCCAATGGTCACCTGGGGACTGGTGTCCTCTACTGACTTAGGAGTTGCTCCTGTTTCTGATTTTGTGCATACTCATTAAGAGCTGCCTAACAGGGATGTCTACGGTTCCATTCCTGGGCCTTTGGTGACCATTTACTGCATGCATATTCTCTTTCGCTTGGCAGCTCCAGTATGCTCTTCACTTCTGGTAGGCACATCATCACTGGCAACACCAAGCAGATTTGTTAGCAGACAATACTGGCACTGGACACACATCCTCAACAAATTAAAGTAGAGAATAAGTTGGGAAGGCAGAAAGGCCAGTGGACAGAATCTGTATTTTTAAAAGTTATTTCTTCAGGAAATTTACTTAGCGTCTTCTCAGAATTGAGATAAAATATCAATGTGTGGTTGCCCATAGTTCCCAAGATGGAGTGCCTGAGTTCTGACAAGTTTCTGAGTTTACAAGACTTTCTCCAGAAGAGCAAGACTTGGGTCAGCTTTTTACAGACTTCAAGCAACACAAGAGTTGAATACTCTTGCACAGCTCTTACTTAAGACCTGTAAAACCTGAAGATGTCTAGTATGCAGGTAAGAGCTTGACCTGGGCTTGTGGATCATGGCCATGGTCCCAGAGAGTGAGGGAGGCAGTGTGTGTCTCTGGGTAGGATGGAGGGTGCATGGGGAATGGGATCATCTGTCCCAACAATCCACTTACTGTAGTCAGGATGTGAGCTTGCTTATTGTGGGGTTCCTGACTGCTCTTGGTCCAGATATTTGGTTAAAAACAGAGAAATGCACTAGGTGCATGAAGCTTTTCTCAGTCCTCAGCAGTCCAGTTGTTTGTCAGTGCTGCTGGGCCTGCTGCACTGTCAAGGAAATGCCTGAAAGACTCGATGGAAAAGCAGCTTTTTCTGACAGATTTTCTACCTGAGGACTGGAAAGAGGGGTGATATTTTTCAGGTTCTTTCATGAGGATATAATTGGCTTTATATAAAGGTGCTGTTTTGTCAGAAAGCCATCTGCAGTCAGAAGGGCTTTGCCTGGCAGTTTTGAGGAGCCCATAACTTGACAGAACTGCTGTAAAAGCAGTCAAATCCTTTCCTGCTCACTGGAGCTGCACCATTGGAGCTCAGCAGTTGGGACTGCAAGCACAGATGGAGAAGACCACCGCTGCTCATTAGAGCTACACCTGGTGGGAGAGCATCCTGATCCAGATGTGGATCTGATCTGGATCAATCCAGAAGGAGATTGAACCACAGACTTTAGAGGAGCCTCCCAACTGAAAATCTTCTATAAAACTGTCACTTTGGCATAGTTCAAAATTGAGCTGTGGTGGTCCAAAGCAGGCCCAACCAGGAGGGTTTGCCTCATGACAAACTCAGCGCTACAGAGCTTGCTCCATCAGTGGTGCAAACCTCCACCTAGGACAATCGTCACCATTGTGTTTTTCAGTAGGAGCACTTGGAGTCCTGTAGTGATGTGGAGATGCCTGGTGCTTTGATCTGACCACCTCATGGTCAACAGAAACATGCTTCCTGCGGACTCTGCCTGGGCAAGCAGGCAAACGAGCAGCTGGAATGTAAACCTCTGCTCTGAGGTGACATTGCTTGAGCTAACGTTCATTTTTTTACTCTAGAGAAGCAGCACACAGTGTCTCCTTTGCAGGTGAAGGTGCTGAGTACAAGGGCTTGGCACTTGCAGTGATACTTGGCAGAAGGCTTGTACAGAGAGGCCCAGATACATGGCTGGTCCCACACATGGCCATCTGGCAGCAGGTCCACAGTCTCCATGGCAAGGGAACACTGAAGAGACAAAGCCTCTCTCAAAACCTCGCACTATCAAGATTTCTAAAGCAGTTTTAAGAGCAATTAAGTAAGTTCCTTATTATGAAATGCAATTATCAGCACAGATGTGCACTAACTGTCTCACTAGCCTTTGAAAAATCCTTATCCCCTTCTAACCAGTGAGCTACATGATACAGCAAAATAAGCACAGAGATAATGGCTTCAGCAAGCTTCCAGCTCTGCCCCTTTGCACAAGAGTAGTGCTGCTCTCGTTGTGCAAGCAGCTGATGGTGGTGGCTCAGGGAGAGGTACTTTGCTTCTGTCTCTGACAAGCTGAGTGCACAGGAAGGTGTGGCGTGGTGTGGGGGCACCTCCTGAGGCTCTGGTCCAACCCCTGCCCGCAGCAGGGCTACCTCTGAGGCCAGGGAGGATGCTCAGGGTCTTCTCCAAGTGAGAACCAAGGGTGGAGAACCAACCACTTTCCTGAGACCCGGCCCAGCACTGCACCACCCTTGTGGTTGTTTTTATTAAGTCCAACAGGAATTTCTTTTGCAGCAAACATGCCCATTGCCTCCTGTCCTTTCTCTGTGCACTTCTGAAAAGACTCCTGCTCCATAATCCTTCCATGATACAGCTGAATCCAACAGTGGGGTTCTTCTGAGCCTTCTCCCCACCCAGCTGACTAAAACTGGCTAAATCAGTTCTTGTTGTATGTCTTGTGCTCTAGATGCACAAGGTTTTGATTTCACTCCAGTTAATCAAAAGCTGTCTCAGACAAGCAACTGCAGAACAGGACACTGCTCCAAGAGCAGCCTCACCTGTGACTCATTGCAAGGCTGGCAATTGGCTTTGCAGATTTTCTTTAAGGGTATAGTGCCACCTGTGTAGTCCAGCTTTGAGGACACAAGTATGTGTTGAGCTGCTGCTGGAGGCACTGTACCACCACTGCAGTTCCTAGTAGGCCCCATGCAGGGAAGAGTTAAACAGATGTTCATTTAACCTGGTGAACACCGGCAGAGACTTGATTGTTCTCAAACTGTAACTGCTGATCCAGGGAGTTTATGGTTAGGAGAAGTACAACTGCAATAAACCCCCAGTTAGTGGGGAGCTGAGTGCTGGTGAGCAGCTCCCTTGCTTCTACACACAGCAGCTTGTTTGCCTGTCTAGCAGTATTCCATTTCCCTGCATCATCAGCACAGCTGTAAGATGGTGAGGATTTGTCCATCAGCTGGATGTGCACGCAGACAGAGGGGCTTTGTACGGTGGAAGAGCTGCTGCTTTGCCAGGTGAGCTCCCAGGAGTACAATGGCAATTTGGACAAGGGTGAAACCCCTGTGTGAGCTACCCAGAGCTTGAGATGTGCATACTGGAGGTTGGTGCATTCCTGCTGCATGTTCAGCCCATCAGCCAGGTGCCCCCTCCTGATGTTCCTGCCTGTGGGGCTCTAGGAGTGATGTTCATGGGCCTTTCCACACCACAGCAGGAACACAAGGCAGGGCAGGGAGGTGTGACGGGGAGTGATGAGCAAAGCAGACATTCCTTACAGCTGGTGGCTCCATTGATACTTACGAAACTTTTTTTTTTCAACCTTTAAGAGCAGCAAAGGATAAAGAACACCATGGGGAAAGGACGCCTGTCCTTGTAGGACATCCCCAGGGGGGAATTCAAGACTCCTGAACTACTGCAAAGTACTACCTTATGTCTCTCCCCCACCAAAACCATGCAGAAGCGCTGCTAGAGCAACAGGCTGTGTGTCCAGCTGGGTGTGCAGAACTACTCGCCTTGTGTGCAGGAGCCCCCTGCTATGGAGCTGGGGTGGGAAGCAGCACTGTGGAGAGTCACTGAGCCCTGTGGGTCAGCCCAGATAGCCTGGCACAGATAACAGCCTGCTGTAGATAACAGCCTGGTGCAGATAACAGCCTGGCACAGATAAAAGCGTGTCCGTGGGGGGAGCCGTGGTGAGGACAGCAGAAGACAGCAGGTGAGAGCCTGGCACAATGCATGCTTGCTTTTGCTTTCACAGACCACTTACTTCCACACTGCGGATGGGGAGCCGGGGCTGTGCTTAGCTGAGGTCTGAGCTTCCCCACCTCTCCCAAGGGACCCCAGAGCCTCTCTCTGCCCCACTACCCAGTGCAGCTGGAGGCTAGCAAGGATGAGGCTGGACCATGCTGCTGTTGTTGCAGGGAGTTCCCCCATGGGGAATGGGTTTTACTCTGAATTTTAAGGTGAATGCTGTGCTGCCTTTGCTTGGTACCTACCTTGCTCCATGGTGGGTGCCTAATGATGCTCCATTGGCAGCACCCACAGCTCTGGGCTCTGCTTCTGATAGAGCCAATTGCTTTGGGGTGGCCTTGCTCCATGCTGGAGGGAGGTGAGGGGTCAGTTTTGGGCAAAACATCCCAAATCTCTGCGTGCAGAAGACCTTGCAGACTGATCTCTCTTTTCCACCCCCACCCCAGCTGAATAACCAGTGGCAGCTCTCCTAACCCTGCACAAACTCGCTGCATGATCAGGGCAGCTGCTGGGCTCTCTTGCTGTCCTCCAGCTACTCCAAAGGATTTGAGTCTGTTTTTAAAATACAGCTGGGGAAATAATTGTCCATCTGCTTCTGGGCTTTTGTATAGACATGGGGGAGCTGCTAGGGACTTGCTGCTCATAATCAGGTCCGTGGCTTCTCAGTTTTCTTCACTTCTTGCACTTTTTTTTGCAGGGATGAAGGCAGAAATCCTCTTCCCAGGGTTGCTGGTGGTCCTAATCCTGTTCCAGGCACATGTATCTTCTTCCTATGGTATTGTTCTGTTCTTGTGTTTTGCAGATCAGGGTCTTGTATGTTCTGAGTGGGAAAAACAATGAAGTCAGGTCTAGGAGAATCTGAATTATTCTCTTTTAAGCAGCTGAGCCCCAAAGAGAGGTCAGAAAAAAACATTGCCAGTTTGTATCTACTGTGCCAGCAATCCTGACAGCTTCAGGTGTTTACCAGTTAATTTCCTATCTGATTTCTTAAAATCACATTATAGGAGAAGTCAGCTCTCAGAACAGCTCCATCCCCACGGTACAGAGGTCCTCCCACCCCACACGCTTTGCAAAGTGTCCCCTGGGAGCGCAGTTTGGCTCTGCCGGGCTGCAGTGCTAGTAGCTCCATCATGCATCATCTTTTTTAGGGAGGCTGAAAACTGAACTAATTTCTGTTCCAGTGCTGATTTACCCTTCCAAAACCTGTAGAGACCTCTGCTTGTTAACTCATGATTTTAAATCATTATGGAAAACACATGCCAGACCTTGAATTTATCTCATATGGTGGTTCAGGCAATAATTTTTCTCTCCAAGATTGAAAAAGAGGTGAACTCTGGGTTGGTCATGGCAGGCAGTTAAAAGAATCTTGGGAGAATCTGGAGACTTTTTTTTTCTTTTTCTTTCTTTTTTTTTTTTTTTCCATTTGTGTTGATTTCTGAAGCTGTAGGAAAAAGATCCCACTCAGGGATCAAGTGGGATAGCAGGGGCTTTTCCTCTTGCTCTGTAACCCCCAGCCAGCTGATGATGGGGACAAAGTCCATTTCTGGGAGCACCCCAGAGCATGAGGGGAAGTGATGAGAGTGGGAAGAGAGCAGGGGGTTGCAGGAGACTGGAGAAAGTTGTGGGGAAATCGGCATGAGCATCCATCCGCCTTGAGACGTGGGGATATATAGGATCTTTTGCCAGTTGGTGCCATAGGTGTGTTGGAAAACGTGGCTATACCCATTCTATTTTACAAGTGTTGGGGAATGAAGACAATGATGTGAAAAAACAGGAAACGAGAGCTTTTAATGCTGAGCTGTTTGACATGGCAGCCAGAGGTATCTGTGCAAGCTGTGATGGCTGTAGTCATATAAATAAAATAAATGACAATAATTGGGATTGCAAAATATTTTATAGAAATAGCAACTTCTCCCCCATAAAGCAACAGGAAGGATCATGCCTACATCTCTCACATGGCTATCTGAAGCCTCCACCAATGGAGAGACCCTTTCCATGTTTGAGGAATGTAGTCATGCACAGATGTCTCTCTCCCTCTCCAGAGAGAGTAGCAGCAATTGCTTCCAGCACTGCAGTGCAAATATCCCTAGGTGCTGGTGGCACAAAGAGACACCCACTGTGGCACAGGGAAGCTCTGACGTGACTAGGCATGGGACAGTGTTCTCACCTCTGTTTTTTCCATTCCCCTAATGAGATCTGTCCAAGGAGCTGTCAGACGCATCCCTCCTGAGCAGCGTGTTTGAAGCCAAGCAGATCGTGGATTCAGCCTACAAGGACACACGTGACCGGTGAGAGTTGGGCTTAGGCACAGCTGTCTCATGTGCACGAGCCATGGCCTGGTCTCCTCTGTCACATTCTGGAGGGTCACAGCCTCAAGGGTGTGTCCAGTCTCCTCTTCGTATACCCTTGTGGTTTCCCCACCCATCCTTTGCTGCCTGCTCTTATCCTTGGATCCTCAACTGTGTCTCTGCAGAGGGCCTGGCTCTTTGCATCCTGCAGGTGATAGTGCTGCCTTGTGCATATTGGCTTCCCCCAATTTTGCACCACATCTCCAGTCCGTGGTGTCGCTCATAGCTGGAACAGTGTTCTCCCTGCCCTCCCTCCCTGCTGAGTATTGCGTGGTCTGTTTCATCCCTTGGGAAGATCCTGAGGAGGGCTGGAGCCAGCACAGGATCTTGCTTATTTGTAGTTTTTCACCCCCTGTGGAGGATGCAAACCACTGTAGTTTGTACATTTGCTGATGACTCCAGCTTCTACCACTATGGTGTGAGAACATATGGCTTCCGACTGACCTATATACCTCCTCTTTCTGTTGCCATCTGTTGAAAACCCCTCACTGGCTTAGGAACCCTCCATCTGATAGCTTTTCAGGGCTCCAGCAGCATTAAGACAGGGTGACATGGAGATGCTTGGGACCTCTGGATGGAGACAGTCACCTGCAGGCATTTATTAGTTGGAGAACAGTTGAGTGAGGTTTTGTTGCCTCAAAGATGTAAAGATCTGAGAGCTCTGATGTTTTCTGGCAGGTTGGAGAGATTGCCTTCCTGCACCCACCCTGCTCCTCTGCAGAGGGTGGCAGGAGCAGTCTGCTCTCTTCCAGCTGCTGTGCAGGGTGGTAGGTGACTCTGCCTTTGTTGGCAATTCCAACTCTTAACATGGCAGATCTGGGGTGCCTGAGGCTCACGTGTGCAACCTGCAGGACTCATGGCTTTGGCCCATTTCAGTCCTGCAGAAGTTATTTTATTCTCCCTTGCAGCATAAAGAAGAACCTGGAGAATGATGTCTTGACCCCCGTAGAACTTCTGAGATATTTCAAACAGCCAGTGGCAGGGACTCGGGCTGCTGTGCGGGCTGCAGATTATATGGAAACCACCCTGACCCTTCTCAAGGAGAAGCTACGCTGGGCCGTGAAGGGGGACTTCAATGTCACAGGTCAGGGTGTCACTTTGCTGGGAGGAAGGCAGAGCAGTACTCTGCAGGACTCTGTGGGCTTTATGAGGAGGGAGGTGAAGGGATTTATGGGGGTCAGGTCTTGGATCCCTCCCACCAAAGCTGAGTGAGCTGTCCCTGTGCCACGCTGAGGCGCAGCATCCTCCAGGAAGCAGCAGTCCTTGCCTCCTGGCAAGACCACTTTGCTGAGAGCAGGAGGCACATTAGGGGCAGGCAGAGAAACAGCCCAGGGAGGCAGGCACAGGACGGCTCTTGCGATGTAAAGATAAACTCATGGGAAAGCAAAGGGTAATTAATCTGATTGCTGCAGAAGCACTGGCAGGCCAAGATGCAAGTCACGGGGTGCTCCAACATAGCTCCAGCATGAGTGGGAGTAGGAAGAGGGAGACAGGGCTGGGTGTGCTCAGCTCCTGCCTCTCCGTGCCAGGAGCCTTTCTCCTTGCCAGGGCACCCCGCATCAGCCTGAGCATGATGACAAACCATGCTGTGACCCATCCTGTTGGTGGCAGCAGCGGCTAGGAAACCTCCAAGGGACTCGGGAAGTGTGCAAGCAGCAATGGCCAAGCAGGGTTTGCTGGCTGAGCTCAGCCACTTACCTCCCATACAGGAGGAGAGCTTCGCGGTGGAAATGCAAATGGCATTCCCTTGTGCTGCCCGGCCACCCGAGGGTGCCTTCTCCGAGCAGCTTTGAGTGTGTGTGTTCAGTGGTGGTGAGGCACACTCCTCCCATAAGGGAAAGATTTGTAACAAACATCTTGGATGACTGTAATTGTTAGCAATTTATGGTGGAGATAAAAAGGAAGGGGAGAGGAAGGGAAAAGGACTGCTAATGCTAGAAGCTCATGCCTCTTCTGCACAGGCTTAATAATATCTAAGATTTGATCACAACTTTGGTGGTTTTAATGCTTTTCAAAGCAGAAAAAGCAATCTGCCAAAGAGCATCCTCAGCACAGGTCTGAGCAGAATGACCTTCGGTGAGCCCCTTGTGCTCCTACAGCAGAGGGTGATACAGTGGTAAAAGAAGGCGTCAAGGGTACGAGAAGGGAAACTTTTTCCTGAGCCAGGGAGACACCACAAACTCGACAGAGCCAGTGTATTCCTGTGTGTTTATCCTCCATGGTTACCTTGCAGACATGCTCACACCAGCTCAGCTGGGGATGATTTTCAAGGCAAGCGGATGTGACCAGCAGAATGAGGAAATAAACTGTGAATCTTCTGGCCGCTACCGAACGATCACTGGCAAGTGCAACAACAGGTGAGGAGGCTGTGTTAAAGGGAAGATGGATGCATAGGTCCTCCATCAGTAGGAACAGACCTATGGACCCAGAGGTGATCCACATAGGATGCCTTATTTAGGGTTTTGCAGCCCCCAGAGTTGTTTCCTAGATGTGTGAAGATTTTAATTACAGCCTTGCTTCAAGGGTTCTTGGTGTCATACATAAATGAGCTCTTTGGCCAAAATGACAACAATTCTGACCCTTCTCTCTCTGCTTTCTCCTGGGTTTTGTCTGGATCTACCACCTTGCATGGTTTCATAGTGCTTCCTGGCTTCCTAACTGGGTATACGACCTGGCTGCATGTGAACTGGGGCATGATCTGGCCATCTCCATGCCCCAGTCTGTGTCCAGGAGGAAATCTGGACACACAGGCTGGGTGCGAGCACCTTGTGCAGGTCCCATGGGTATATGGATGGACATGACTGTAACATGGAATGTAAAAACTGTTTCTTAGTACTTACAGAGTTTTCTATGGCAAACAGTGGAGGATTTTCAAAGGAACAGCACAGGAACATTCCACATCTCTCCGCTGTTGCCAAGTACGTACTAGGCAGAGCATGTCTTGGCAGCTGTGGCCATAAAACACTTTGGCCATAAAAAGCTGTGTCTCCCCTTTCTCGGGAGGAGAAAGAAATTCAGACAGGTCTGCCTGCCTACAGGATGACTTCGCCTTCAGATGTCTGTGTAAGAAGCAGGGAGAGAGCTAGCTGTGCCCTTCCATTTTCAGAAGGTGGTGGCTTCATTTGGGAGGGAGATCTAGTATCTGGGATAACAATGGGTCCCTCAGACCTGAGCCAGACCTAGTTGCACTAATATTTTTCTGTTCTTCCATTCACTGGTGCAGGAAAAACCCATTACTAGGAGCTTCAAACAGAGCCCTGGCCAGATGGTTGCCAGCAGACTATGAAGATGGTGTGTCAATTCCCCATGGGTGGACAGAAAAAAAGCGTGTCTCTGGATTCCCCTTTCCACTAGTAAGTCCTTACAAGTCTGCTAGTTAGCATCATCATGATCAGGAGGCAGAAAGATAAATTCACCTACGTCAGGTGTCATCTGACTATATGAGAATCTCCATGGTGACCTAATGGAAATGCTTTCTCACTCCCATGCTTGGATGAAAAGCAAAGGAAAATTAATCTGATTACTGCAGAAGAAACAAAGAAAGACCTGCATGATGCTTTCTTTTAACTCAAGTGCATTTAAGCCAATATAATTTACTTTAAGGTCTGACTCAGCTTTTTATGACTTGTTTTGTGGAAGTTGTTTTGCTCTTGAATGGTCTCCTGAAAAGCAGTATGCCAGAGAATAAAATGAGCAAGAGAATCTCTGGAATAAAAGACATTGAGCTATAAATTCTGTTTATGCACCCATGGGTGAGTAATCAGTGAGGGATGTGTGTGTGGCTCTGGTGGCACCTGGCGGGGAGATGGTTTCAGGTCACTTGAGCTTGGTGCACCACCAGCAGTAATGAGGAGCAAAGATTTTCTGTGTTGTGTGCCTTATCGTCATGTTTCCTTGTGCTTCCTAACTCTGCTCTAAAGCACATTATCAGGGCTGCCCAGTTTCTCCTTTTTCTGCAGTAATAATTGAAGGAAGAGCTGATGGAGAAACGGTGACGGGACAGAGCAGAAGAAAAGAAAAAGGGTTTGGGAGAGTATCCTGTCTATGTGAGAAGCGTACCTGACCAAGGAGCATTTGAACTGTGAAGGATTATACATGTTTTAGTAACTAGAGGGAATTTACTGACAAAACCTTCAGAAATTCCTAAATACTTTTATTCCCTTGCACTTCTATTTCAAAGCAATATTTGAAAAAAATTTGCCTCTCTTTCCCAGTCTAAGAACCAGAGTATGGGTCTTTCTTAGCCACTTCCACATGTCCATTAAGGGATGCTCTTTGCCTAGAAGCTCAGAAACCTGGCTAGATTCAAGAGTACAATGCTCAGCAGAGGTCTCTCTGTAATACCTTCCAGTCAGAGGCTTTTTTTTTTTTCTAATATGACATAAAAGGAATCATTCCTTGTGATTTTTTTGTTGACAACCCTACAGATGCACCCATTCCTATAACCATTTTCTAATGCACGTGTTCTGCCTTCATCCCGTGCAGGTTCGAAAGGTGTCAAATGAGATCGTCCGTTTCCCCCCTGCGCAGCTCAAGCTGGACCAGCAGCGATCACTCATGTTCATGCAGTGGGGTCAGTTTATTGATCATGACCTTGATTTCAGTCCTGAAACCCCAGCCAGAGTCACCTTCAGTGGCAAAGTGGATTGTCACACCAGCTGTGCCAAGCAGCCCCCCTGCTTTCCCATCAAGGTACAGCCAGCCTGCCTCTTGCAGAGAAGCTGGGGACAGGGTATCAGTCCTCTGACCGGGAGGTGCTGGTGGCTCTCCCTATCCTGGCCACCAAGGAACAGCCTCACAGAGCAGGCCAAGGGGGACAGACCACTCTTTCTGAGGTGGAAGTGCTCACTCCAAGGAGCTGTCCCCAGATGTAAGCACATCCACAGCCTTTCCCTTGTTTCCAACTTTTAACCCCATCTCCTTCAAGAATATATATTTATTTCGGAGGTATAATGCAAAGACAACACAGACGGTGCCTGGGTTATAGTAAGTGTGTCAGAGATAGGGTTTGGTGGGTGTTAATGTCCCATTGGTACCCTGGAAAATGCCCATTTGATGGTTAACTGCTCTATAGTGTCTGGAATGAGGAAGTGGCGAGCACCTGTCAGCAGTGGCTAAGGCTTTGAGCTAGGAAACTCAACAGCCACATTGCAGTCTCTGCTCCAGTAAGCACACATGCACCCTGCAGCACTACTCTCCTGATTTTCAGGATGTGTTGCAGCTCTGGCTCGATCGCATACCCATATTTCCTCCCAAGGAAAACTGTGAAGGGTTGGGGCATCACTGAGTATTTGCCACATATGCATTTGAAAACACAGCCAGTGTTACAAGTGCTGGATGGCAATTGTCCACAATGTGGAGTAGATATGGACATTAGACTGCAATATAAGATAGGAACACACGAGCTTCTAAGATTTGATCTGATATGTATTTACCCAGGGGAAGAAGTTTAGGTATCCTTTGGTCTTTCTTTCTGGACATTCAGGCACCTCCAGGCTTTCATACATATTTGGGAGTCCTAAAAAAAGCATCTCTGCTGTCTGTCTGACACTTCATAGGTGGGATTTTGGATCAGACTCAACACTGTCTGCCATGGAAGCTGCCTCTGAAATCACTCCTGCCTGGCTTTTCTTATGACTGTAGTATCACATTGCAGAGTTTCTGCACCCCTGAAATGATGATGAATTATTTCCTTATCTTTCTTCAGATCCCACCTAATGACCCACGAGTTAAAAACACCAGAGATTGCCTCCCATTCATTCGCTCAGCTCCTGCTTGTGACAGTGGTAAAGCAATTCGAGAACAGATCAACGCGCTCACCTCCTTTCTGGATGGCAGTGTGGTGTATGGCAGTGAGGTGCCTTTGGCCAACAAGCTGAGGGATCGGACCAACCAGCTGGGCTTGCTGGCTGTTAATCGGAATTTCACTGACAGGGGCATGGCGTATATGCCCTTTGACTACATGTCAAAGGACCCCTGTCTTATGGTCAGCAAGGGAGCTAAAATTCCATGCTTTCTTGCAGGTAAGTTGGCTGTTGAAACCCTTGTACATGTAGGTTCCCTGGTCTTGAGATCTAGAGTGAACAATTCCACCAGCTCGGGTTTAGTTCTTTAATTGCTTGTTTCTTGTATTTAAGTAGAAAAGGGAGCATAGCAAAACATGGTGAATGACTAAGGCAGGCAGGTAGGAGAAAGCTCTTCACTTCCTGAGTCTTTCTTGTGACCATACCACTGCTGTGATGTTTCTCCATCTGTGCTCAGCAGCCCTGCCCTGGAGTAGAGCCAGGGACACGGTGCTGCCATGGGTGCCATGGTGCACCCAGGGCCCCATGCAGCTCCTGGATGGAGCCAAGCAAATGCAGCAGTAGCAGACTGGCTGGGATACAGTGGCTTGTCCATGCTCGTCACTTGGCAGCTGCCTCTCTACCATCTGGATAGATACAGGTGTGTTTGTGCTGGGCTGGATCACTACCAAGAAATACTTGCTAGTGCTGCTGCACTGACAGAAGCTCAGATCCCAGCTGGACTGAGAACAGGACTGATTGCAGACTGAGGTGACCTTGCCACCAAGAAGGCTGGGGTGCACTGGCAACATGCTGGCAGTGCAGACCTTTATACATTAACAAAATCTCCTGCTCCATTTGTCACCCTCTTGGCATCCTCTTGACTATTCCTTCAACCCAAGCTAAATCCTTTTGTCCTGTGCAGAACCAAGACCTTCCATCTGCTGCTGCTGCTTGCTGCTTGTCCTGTTCCCAGCACACAGAGGCCAATATATTTCGTTTCCCAAGGCCCTAAGCAGTGGTCTCTTCCCCCGGCTCCTGCTAGTGAGGAGTAGGGTGCTGCTACAAGTGTGTGAGAACCCACAGAGGAAAGTTTCTCACCCCTTGGTCCTTCCTTTTGGCCAGCAGGACCTCCTGTCTAATACTTGATGGCTCTGGCCACACTGGGCTGTTCATGGCACCTGAGGGCATGACAGATCTCATCAGCTGTGGAGCTGATTTCTGTTCCCTTGCACCCTGCACATCTGGCCTAGGCTGCTTTGAACAACATCCCTGTATACCTTGGCGATACATCCAAGGTGACAGGACCAGCAGGAGAGCTCTGCTTGGTGTCATCCTCCAGGTCCCTCTTTTCAAGTTCTTGGTGTTTTCTGTTTTCCTTGGCCTCTCACACCTGTCTATCTCTCCCATCCATTGCTCCATGTCTCCAGCTGCTTCCCCAGTTCATGCAGGTCCTCAGTGAGGGCCCTGCAGGGCCTGTGGCAGATGCCCAGTGGGGAGCAGAGCAGGCAGGTACATTGGGTGCTTCCTGGTGTGGGCTTCCCATCCCAAGCACCTCTGGGCTGCCTGAGCAGTTTCTGTTATATAGCTGGGTACATGGACATCAACAAAATTATAATGAAGGGGTTCAGGCTTACTCAGAGGCTCCTTGCAGCTCCCCACAAGCTCCTTTGAAAAATCAGCGTCTTATTTGTGACTTTTCCGGACCCTGAGAACTGAGGCAGCTGTACATGCGCTGTTACCTAACAGGGTTCAGCGATTTCATTATTGGAGTTCCTTTGGAAGCCCTGAGTGGATGCTGTCTGCTGGAGGAAACCTCACAGTGCTTGTTTTGTTTCTTCTTCCGTAGCCTCTTACAGACAGTCTTTGATAGTTAATGAAAAGGGCTCTGTGCTGAGTGCATGAGCAAATCCCTCTATTTACTATGGATCTAGTGGACTAAACACTATTCATTTACTCTTCTCTGAGTGCTTCTTTATACTCTCATCACCTGCTTGATTTCAGGTTTCCTGCTCTAGACGTTTGAAGAAGGATTTAATATTTCATTGTTATGCTTTTTGTAATATATTCCTTCAAGTTGTGACTCATTTTGCTTTTACTTTTACTTTTCTGAGAGCTTGATTGTGACTGTCTTCTTGCTTTGGCCATGGTTTCAGCTGGTTCAAAGGATGCCTTCTGACTTACAAAGCTCCATTTCTGTCTTGAGCTCTGAGACTGTTGCTCTGATATATGAGCCTGGAGGAGTCCTACTTGTATTTAACTCCTTAAGTTACCTCTCTTAGACTTTTTTTTTTTTTTTTTTAACCCAAAAATGGGCACAAGTATGCTCATCTTGGCTATTGCTGCTTTGGCAGGAAATGGCTTTTCACCAGAGCTCTTTGGTCCTCTGGACTGCTCCTTCTCCTTGTGTGTGGTTCTTATCCATCTGCTTCATGATGCAGATATTGAGACACCTAAAAAGCTCTCTGTGCATGGTTCAAAGCAGGATGTTTGCTTTCTCCCAGTGTGAAGCAGCCAGGCACACGCAGGACACTGGCACTAAAATTAAGCACTCTTGTGATACTCATAGGTGACTCTCGAGCAAACGAGATGCTGGAGCTGGCGTGCATGCACACGCTTTTTGTGCGGGAGCACAACCGCCTGGCTAGAGGACTGAAGAGATTAAATCCACACTGGAATGGAGAGAAGCTCTACCAGGAGGCACGGAAGATTGTGGGTGCCATGATCCAGGTAGAGCCACCATGTCACACCCCAGCTCTGCTGCCTTGTCTTGCAGCCTTGCAGAGTTAATATGGTAGGATTGCTAGTGTGGGGTTTCCATAGGGTGCAGTGTTTTGGGGTGCAAATAATCAAATGCTTTTCACTAACTCCTTTAGTCTAAAGTAAAACCACCCAGAGATACCTGAAATAACATGTGCAGAGGGGGTCTCCCTGAATCTTTTATGTTCCTCTACTGTTACATTTCTTAATTGTTTGATGTGTTTTTAACTGCATATTTTTGTTTGATGAACATGAGGACAGAAAAGTCAGAGGAAAAGTTTTCCCAGTATCTTGTGCAGGATAATAATGCTATTGGAGATTTGGGTTAAAATTCCTCTGGGTCATAAGTCTGTTCCTCTCAAGAAGCCCTATGTGCTGGTGGGTGCAACCACCCGTGACATTCTGTTGTCCTTATGGTTTTAGAGCAGGGATGCTTGGGTCCATGCTACACTACAGATTTTCCCCTGACTGAGACAGTAGGGTCACAGAAATACTTCTGTGCTTGGAGGGGATCTCTCAATGTCTCTAGTCCAGCCTCCAGTTCAGAGCAGGACCAGCTTCAAAACAGATGAGGTTTCACAGCTGGCAGAAAAGGCTGGCTCCTATGACAGAAGAAGACGCAGGGTTACCAAAAGCAGTGCTTAGTCATATCTAATTGAAAACCTATTTTCTGAGTTGGCTTGGCAAATTCTTTCAGTAACATCAAAAGGTTTAAGTTTTTAAAACTTCAAAATTGCATATTATGATAGTGTTGAATAAACAAATATTGAATAAGCCAATGTGGAGAGATTTAAACAATTGCAGTAAAAGCATTGCCTCTTTCGTCGTGTTTACATCAATGGCTTAATTTTCTTGCAATTCGCAGTCAATTAAGACATTTCCTGACAAATAATTTGATTTTTTGAGTTGTATGCTTCAGCTTCCGCAATAACCCAAAGAGAGAGGAAGCCAGGGCTGGAAACCTCTGCTCTGAGAGGACTAACAGCTGCCCATGGGAGGTGATATCATCTGTGTCAACACCATAGATCTTTTCTCTCATCTGAAGCAAGTAATATGGGAGGGAGGAGGACATGCAGTTCTACGTGGCTGCTGGAAATGGCCTCTACCTATAGTTCCAAGAGGAAATATTTGAGAGGTTGTGGCAGGCAATGCTAGCTTTCATCCTGCTCTCATCTGTCAAGATATAAGGCTAGAGGTGAGGACCATGTCTGAGGACAGCTGAGCAGCAGCAGCAACATGTAGAGAATCCCAGTGCATTACACACAAAGGTTGAGCATGGGTCAGGCATCAGCAGTGTCTGTGCTTCCTTATGTTGCTGAAGCTGCTATGAAGCTTTGCATTTTCATCCCCTTGTCAGTGCTAGAGAGTGCAGAGATCCCTGCACATGGCTGGAGCAGCACCCTGCAGTGCCTGTGCCTGGAGCTGCACTGGCAATGGCATGGGGCAATGGTCAGGTGCAAAAGCTGCTTTGAACCAAGGCTACAGAGCTTTAGAAATACAATTGTCACTCAGCGGTGTCAGAAAGGATCCTCAACAGACTGCCAGAGCACTTGGGTCAAGGTCTGATGAGGTGAAAGGAAAGTTGGCCCTGGGGAGTCTGGTCTGCATCTTGTGTTAGCAAAATTTCCTACAGAAATAGCATCAGAGAAGCCCAGTCTGACAGCTCCTGTTTAAGATGTACGCAACAGCTCTCCCATTACTTTGTTTCCAAGGAAACTGATGCTTAAGCAATTAATTATTCACACTTTCCTTGTTTCTCCTTAGATTATAACCTACAGGGACTACCTGCCTCTTTTGCTGGGAACAAGTTTACAGAAATGGATTCCTTGCTACCGAGGCTACAATGAGGCTGTGGATCCTCGCATATCCAATGTCTTCACTCTGGCTTTCCGTTTCGCTCATGCTTCAATTCCCCCATTTGTGGGCCGATTAAACAAAAATTATAAGCCCATAAATCCGAAACTGCAACTCAGCAAAACCTTTTTTGGTGTCTGGAGGATTGTGAAAGAAGGTAAAGCCTTTCTTGAATGTCTTGGGTGTACCATTACTTCATTTGGCCCTCTCTGGATAAGCTCCTGCATCAGTCAAACTTAAAAGCAGCTTGCATTAAATGTATTAAATCATCTTTACTACCAGAGTTTTCCCAACATAGCTGTTCTCTGCAGTCATCTTATTATGATGTATGCAGTCTGATTGCTTAATTGTTGTAGTTTCTAAGAACATTCAAAGTATTTTCTTTCTAATGCTTTATGTGCAGGAAAACTGATTCTCCTGTACTTATAATTAAATACAAGTTTTATTCAGACCTCTGGAGCCTCTTTCATACACACTTTCCACCCTATGCTGCTCACAAGTTGCTGTGTAACTGTTGCAGGCGGTATCGATCCCTTCCTGCGGAACCTGATGGCCAGTAAGGCCAAGCTGATGACACAGAAACAAATGGTTGTGGATGAACTCCGGGATCGGATGTTTGAGCAGGTTGAAAGGATTGGGTTTGATTTGGCTGCACTTAACATGCAGCGTGGCAGAGATCATGGCCTTCCAGGTAAGCTGGCTGTGGCAGCAGAGCTGCCAAAGGAGAACCAGTGAAAATCAGGCAATCTTGTTATTGAACATTGAGAAACATCTCCAGCCCATGCTTTGCTGAAACTTGTCTTAGAGGACTTTTCCAAACCTTTTAATCTTTTCTGTACTACCATTGATAAGTAGGTTGCAGGTTGTGCAATGAAGTCAGAGCCTGGCTGGAGCTGGAGAAGACACATGGAGGCACACAGCCACAAGTACACTTAGCATTGCACAGAGTCAAGCATTCAGTAACTGATGCATTTATGTTGTTGTTTAAATGCCATAATTATGAAAGTGGTTCACCAAGGGTGTGCAGGAGTCATTAGCAGAGTTCGGGCCAGAAGCCCCCATGGCTTCTCTTCAGACATTTGTATAGGTCCAGCACAGCCCCAGAAGACCATATATCTGAAAAAAAAATAATCTCACCATATTTTCTCTACAAAGACAATGTCCCAGGAAAAAAACAAAAACAAAAACAAAAACAAAAACAAACAAGCATGTCAAAACCACTCACAGGGAGCTGCAAAATGCAAAACCAGTGTAAAGACATCACAATATAGTCTTGAGAAATAGATTGTTGATAGGACTTGACAACAGAATCAAGGGTGTGCCATTGCCTAACACTGTTATTAGGCTGACGTAAGTGCCTGGAGCTGCTGTGTCAGTAACATCCTGGGAACTGCAATACAGCTCACTTTGAAACTGTGATGAAGAATGCCAGACTCACATGTTTTAAGCCCAGACAGAGGCTTTGCAATGCCTGCAGATGCATGGTCTGGTCACAGGATTGCTCTGCCTTTTTATCAACAGTAGGTCTTGATGTTCCATTCTGTCTGTGGGAACACTGCTGCACAGAACCTCATCTGAAATCAAATCCCAAATTTCTAGTTTTGTCTGCTGATCTACTGCAGTGGAACTGAAATGTATTTGTAAAAGTGTTTATTTGTGTTAATCTCCTTGTCTTTGGGTCTCAGCCTACCCCTGAGTGCTACTGTGCTCCTTGATGTTAGACAAACTATGAAAGTGGTGATAACATAGCAACATCAAAAAAGCTTCCTGATTCTTTTTCTGATACAGCAATATGTGGTCTCCTTGAATTGTTTGATAGTAGTACCATATGCTGTATCTTTTTCTATGAATTCTCACCAGCTTTTAAACATCTTACTTACAGCTGAAATGTATGCTGCAGTATCATTCTCATCTCTGTACCCAGCAGTTTCCTGGGCCGAAAGGTAGCAGAATGCATTAGTTCTCCATAGACTTTTCTTTTACTTAAGCAGTCATTCGATAAGATAGAGAGAGGATTGAATTGAGACTGCCTTTTGCTGTTTATGTGCCCAGATCAACAAGATGCAAAATTATCTTCCAGTTGTGGTCTCATGAATTTCCAGCTATTTGCTGTAAACAAAATTTAGTACAGCTGGCAATGTACAGTGTCCCTCTTCCACCCATAGTAGCTTGCCTTATGAGCTCTATTTGCAGTGTGGAATGGCTTGTCAGGGTGGCTAGATATAAATGTACGTGAGACCACCTGTGGGGAGGTACTTGGCCACTGTCCTATTGTACAGAGCATCAACATATTATCTAGATTCACTTTCAAAGAAATCAACATCAATAAGTTTTGTGAGGAAATCTCTCCTGTTTTTCCAAAGATATCTGACATTGTCTGCTCACAGAGCTACCTTAATGTTCCTAGGCTGTAATTTGGCATGCCCGGCCCCTTCATCTGGGTATCCAGAGCAGAGGGGTAGGAGCAATCATAGCACACTCAGGATCAGGTGCCTGAGCATATGTCTCCTTTGCTATTGCAAATGCTTTGGGGTCACTCCTCTTGCCATCTGCTGCAGCTTCAACAGGGCATGGGTCTCCCATAGCTCCTCTGTCACATCTTCATGAGATTGTTCAGGATACACCATGGTTCTGGAGCCTGCATGGGGATCTGTCTTGCCACTTGGTGAAACAGCAAAATGGTGCTGGAAAGTGGTAGAGAAACTCTGGCTGGCAGGGATCACTTGCAGAGACATCCACAAATAGCATGAAAATGCCAGGCAGGACAAAATGACCCTCAAGCACTGGAAAGGCAATAGCATTAATAGAAATACAGAAGAATTTAGAAAAAGGTTTTAAACATAATTGGAACCTACCTCTGCCCAGGGTACGGGAAAGAGAGAAAAAATCTTTCCAAAAAGGGAAAACGTTATTGACCGTTCTTTGCTGTGATACTCGACTACTTGCAGGTTACATCTCCTGGAGACAATTCTGTAGGCTCTCAAAACCTCGTGGTTTGAAGTCACTTGCTCAAGTATTGAAGAATCACAGTCTGGCAAAGAAATTCATGCAGCTGTATGGGACACCAAAGAATATTGACATTTGGATTGGGGCGCTTGCAGAGCCCTTTGTGAAAGGTGGAAGAGTTGGTCCTCTCATGGCTTGTCTAATTGGCACCCAGTTCAGGAAGATACGTGATGGGGACAGGTAAGAGGGTACACAAACCCCAGAGGACAGAGTGAGACTGGAGTTTGTGCAGATTTCCTAATGGAGATTTGGAAACTGCTTCCAGTTGTTTGGTTATTTTTTTTTTTCATTGCTCCTCAAAATGTGTTTGGTTTTTGTTTGTTTGTTTGTTTTCCCTTTCTAGTGATGTTCTTATTCCCTGTCTAGATATATAATCCCTAGGTTGAGATTCTAGGCTGAGATCCCTTCCCAGCCAAGTGTTTTGACCCTCTGCGTGTTCACTTTCACTAATTTTGCAAATTGTATTGACTTTTTCCATGCCGATGGCTCAAACACAGTGGTAATGTTTGAGCAATTTTGCTGCATTCAGATAAGTTGTTTTAAGGAAGGCCTATATTACTACGTGTTCAAACACCCACTTGCTCAAGCAAAGGGAAATATGTAAGTACCTTAACAAGAAAAACAAGTATAGTTTTAAGGATGGGAAAACCAGGCTCCAGATGCATTGCCTTCACCAACTGGAAACAAGCTTCCAGGTTTAGTCAGCCTATGTAGCTCGCACTGACAGAATTGTAGATGTTTAGTGTCTGCTGATGGGGTGGATAACACTTTGGGCAGTTTTTGAAAAATTGCCTGCATGCTAAGGGATGTTACTGAGGGACTAACACTGTCAGGCTTTGAAGGGAGTAAAGCAGATTAATTGTTCTCTTGGTTCTCTCCAAGTCCCAGCTAAGCTTCACTGCTTGCTTGGCACTGTCAGCATCCCTGATCCCTCTCTGCTGGGACAGATAGGCTGCTTCTTCAGGGCTGTGCCCTGCAAAAGTCTAAAAACATCTGTCACCTTCACAGACCCTGTAATTACAGAACACAACCTTGCACAAATGCAGTGTCTTCTGCACCTCTTGGAGGTCTTAGAGGTGACTTTTCACTATTTGTCCATTCCACCCCAGTTATGAGGTGTACTCTCATGGGCATGTAGCAATTTAGGCTTAGTTTGCACCAGGAGATGGGTGGACTGGTGTTAGCTTGCCAACGAAAATCATTTGAGCAGTGTTGTGCTTTCAAAATACCTGAGGTCCTCTGCCACCTCCTCCTTGAAGTTGCTATAGGACATCAGGTAGAGGAGTTTGTACCCTTTTCAAGGTACATTTGCCAGTCCTTTCTGAAGCAGGGTTCTTGCATTGTTTAGCAATATTGTCTGAAAATGGGATCATGATACCTGTTCCTAGGAAACTTTTCTGCCAAGTACGTACCTAGAAAGACTTACAAGCTCAAAACACAGAGTTGGGAGCTTAAAGGCAAACAGTCTACTTTCACATTTAGAAATCCTATTCATAAGGCAGGAATAGAAGAAACAATTTTTTAAAAGAGAGTAATTAGAGGGCTGTTCCCACCATGGCATCACAGTCTGTTGAGTTTGTGCTGAATATTCTATTTGAAAGAGGGTGTTTGAGCCTCAGTTGAAGAAACACAGGGCTAGGCTTTAATTCAACTGTATCTTTGTTTTATTTATATGGCAGAAATGCAATTCAAATTACTCAGCGGGTGAGACAGAGCATTTAACTTAAACACCAGAAATTTTAATTTGGTCTTAGCAGGGAAAAAAACAAACATTGGTGTTAATGGGAAATAATTTTGCAGGAATCTTGAATAAGAAGAAGATAGAAGGGAAAAATCTATAGTGTCATTTTCTGTCTCCTGCAGGTTTTGGTGGGAGAATAAAGGAGTTTTCACTCCTCGGCAGCGCAGTTCACTGGCTAAAATCTCCTTGTCACGAATAATATGTGATAATACCCACATCTCTAAAGTGTCAAGAAATATCTTCCAGGCCAACAGCTATCCTCACTCCTTTGTGAGCTGCAACCAGATCCCAAAGCTGGACCTCAGAGCTTGGAAGTCAAAGAAGATGGAAGAAAGTACAGAGTAAGGTATAAACCTGAAACAGCAGTCAGTTTCTGCTTGAAAACAGGTGATATAACTGGACTAAGCTCAGGTTTTAGAGGACTTTAAGTGTCTAAGCAATGCAGTCTGCGTTACACAGAAAACTAGCTTACCAAAATACTCCTGAGACTACCATGAAATGGCTGTTGACATATTAGGGCAGCCAAAGACCACTGCACCAGACACCCAGGCTCTTAAACAGAGCTGTCTATCACAGGCCTGAAGATATGTGCCAGGTACATACCTAGCATGTGTTTAGATATGTCATTCCATCGAGTCCACTGGGAGTAGTTCCTCTAGCACAGATTTTCCAGCATCAGCATTGCAAGGTGAAGCTAGCTTTATAGCTCTGGGATTTTTCTTATTCAGTCTTTTCAGTTTAGCTCTGTTGTTGGTATACACACTTTTTTTTCCATCCAGCTTGTCTTTCTGTCCAGACCTGTCTAGGTCTGTCTTCTGCCCATCTCTGAGAATGCTGTCAGCACATCCAGGTCACACAAAAACCATCTCTGCACTTGAAAAGAGATTCCCAATATATGGACCAGTTTGTGGAGTTTGATTTGTGCTAAGAAATATTTTACCCATATTTCTGGTATTTCCTTCATCTGCCTTCAGTTCTTGAGGTTTACTGCTTTAAAGTTTTAAAGTTCTTGAGGTTCAATGCTTTTCTTCCAAAATGATCTCTGAAATCTCTAGGAAGTGGATGCAGGCAAGAGCAGCTCTCCCCTGGGAAAAGTGGGCTGCTCCGGTTCATTAGGGCCTTTTCCTCATTAAACATCATCTTTCCCTTGCTCTGAGAGTCAGGCCCTGCCATGCTGTCATGCTAATAGCTGTGAGAAGGAGCAAATCACTGCAACTAGATGCGATCATTCAGAGCTCAGAGAACTCCAGCTGCAGTCGACTTCCAATTCCCTTGAGGCTGTTTAGTTACATTTTCCAAAGGGCTATGGGATTATCAGCTTGAAAGTGTGACAAGGTGCAACCATAAATGCCACTTTCTTGGTACCAGAAAAGTAAGGTTTGGAGGACTGCAGAAAGCAATATGCAGGCAGGGATCTCCAGAGGTCTCTAGAGAAATATCCTGCCCAGAGCTGAGCTAATACCAGAGTTATTGGTCCCACTTTTCCAGCTTAACCTATGCAATAAATCACACAAGACAATAGGGAGTTATGGTGCATTCTTTTCTGGTCTGTTAACACATTGGTTTTTGTCTCCTGTAGAAGAACCACGTGATTCTTAATGTTGAACACTGAGGATTCCCCAGAAGCTTGGATTTGAAGAAGCTGCTGAGATTTATTTTTTTTTATTATTATTTTATCCCTGTGTCTATGTCTTTACTGCCTGAAATGTTTGGGCATGATCGCTGTCATTCACTCTATTTAGTTTGCTTGAAGCCTTTCAAGTGAGATGAAATCCAGTGATAAAAAACTTCATGAAAAGATGTTCCAGATCTGTGCAAATTACTCAATATCACAATGCAAAAGAAAGTGAGTTATCAAGAGACTCACTCCCAAACATACTGCTTGCTCAGGTAATTTCACATACACTGGGTCCCAGTAAGCTTTACTGTCAAAAGACAGGTTCTGTACACTCCTTTCGTGTGAAATAGCATGAAGTTTCCAGTCTACACAGAAAGGCATTGGGGCATCAGAACAGATTGCATATTTTTGCTCTCTTTATTATTATTATTACCATTTCATTTTTATTTCTAAGAAGTACATACTTTGGTTTCCAGAGAAAATCTAGTAATTTCAGTGAAGCAGCATTAGCTTTCATGTACCCCAAACAGATTTATTAAAAACCCTCTGTTCCTGCTTTTGTTGGATATGGAATCAAGAAATTGTCCACTTGGAATAAAGCTGTTCTCTCATCAGTACCTGCCCCTCATCCAGAATGCCTAAGGCATCACACAGCATGATGGAAAACTCTGATAAATTGTTCTGCAGCCTGGCATGAGCCAGAATGACTTACCCCTGGGCTGTGGAGGTGATGGGATATGTCCTAGCAAAGACAGGATCAGTCTGAAGTACAAGAAAGTAAGACCTAATCTAGTTTCTCCCTTCAATAGCTTTTCCCAAACGGAATCAAAATGTCTTTCTCTTTCCTCTCTAATTTGCTGTGCTACTGTAGTTGATCAATAAATTGCAATTTTGAGCTGAGGCCAAGACTTTCTTTACACTTTGTAAAAAGTACAATGACCAATGCCAGGTGGAGGGTGGTGATAGGTTTAATTTGGAGGTAATGGATTAAGCAGATTCAAGTGAAGAACCTAGTACATTTTTAAGGAAGGAAGATATATCTTGCTGCAGTCTCTGAGTCATTATCCTGTGTCATGTAGCACTACAAAAGCATTCCTCAGAAAAAGGGGCAGTGCAGGATTTAGCTCTAACAAACACTTGACAGTAATCTCCTCCTTATCTCTCCGAAAAGGCAAAAAGTTCCTGTGAGATCCTCAGAGAAAAAGAAGAGGTGTAGGTACTGACTTCTGGCACCATTTGTCCAAGGTGTTGGGGTGATGCTGGGGTGACGAAATGCCCCAGGTGTGTAGGCTGACAAACATAAGTCTGGACGTGTTTTGAACACAGAAGGGTTCTTACAAGCAAACATCCCCTAGGAGTGGGTTGAAGCCCAGTGTTTCTTGGTTAAGCTCATGGTGCTGAGAGTTTCAAGGGAGTTAACAGATTCAATGGGTGTGAGACACTGACTACACTGGGGATGTGCGTCAGTCTCTCTGGCTTTATTTTTTTAGTACTGGTTGTCTAACGTGCAGCCCCAGCACTTACTCAGACCCTTGATGACACAGGAGGGCACATTCATTACCTTTTGATTTCAGCAATTGACTTATGAAGAGAAAATAGAAAACTTCATTTGGAAGGGACTTACAAATATCATCAAGTCTAAATGACTAGCTCAAAATCATAGAATCATTAAGGTTGGAAAAGCCCTCCAAGATCATCTGGTCCAACCACCCCCTACCATCAGTATCACCCACTAAACACCTGCCGAGGCGATCGGCTCCGGGGCAGACACGTTCTGCAGCGGAGCAGATGATTGAGACAGGCAGGACTTTTTTTTTTGGCATAGAGGCCGCCATTCAAAGCAGCCAAGGGAGCCGCAAGGATCCAGCAGCCCTCGCGAGGGAGGCTGACGAGGCAGCCCCTGGGAGCACGAGCGACCAGGACGGGCAAACAGGGCGGGGCGCGGCGGTTCACGCAGGGAGGGCCCCTCGCTGCTCTCTTTCAGCAGTCTCTCCCTTCAGTACATGTAACCTCCTTGTGAGGAACCTGGCCATGGTATCAACCAGGCAGAAAACCATGGCCTCCCCATCTCTTGTGGCTTCTCCAGCCACAGTCACCTATGTGGCTATTCAGACAGATGGCTTGGGGAAATACACCGCCGTCCAGGTCTTGGGCTGCAGGGTGTGCCCAAGTCTTCTGTCTGTATCCAACAGCAGCAGCGAGGGGTATGCCTGTGGGAGGTGTGCCCAGGCTGAAGAGCTGCTCAGCCAGGTAGTGGAGTTTCAGGAGGAGGCGAGCAGATTCAGGAGCATCGGGCAGTCAGAGAGGGAAATTGACTGGTGGAGATGTGCTCTACCCTCTCTGAGACAGACTCACAAGCCTGCCACAGCACAGGTGCCTCCTGCTCTGCAGAAGACAATAGTTCCCTCATCCTGCCAGGCAGTAGGAGGAGACCTGGGCCAAGGGGGGGAATGGAGGCAGGTTCCTGTTCAGGGTGGTAGGTGAGCCCTGTCACTGCCCACTTCACTTTCCCATCTACCCTTATGTAACAGGCATAAGGCTCTAGTACACAACAGTCAGAGCAATGAAGTAGACGAAAGCCCGTCCCAGTTGGAGAAGGTGCCTAAGGCAACGCAACCTACCCCCCTGCATTGCTACATCATCTGTCAAGAAAGATATAAGGGTTACTTTTGAAAGGGACAGAGGGCCCAATATACTGACCAGACGCAACCCACAAGGAAGTCTGTTGCCTGCCTGGGGCTCAGGTGAGAGTCTTTGCTAAGAAAGTCAAGTGCCTGGTACGGCCCACTGACTACTATCTGCTACTGGTCTTTCAGGCTGGTAATGACAACGTAGCAACGAGAAGTCCGAGAGCAATCAAGAGAGGCTTTAGGGCTTTGGGGCAATTACTTAAAGGATCAGGGGCACAGGCTGTGTTTTTCTCTGTCCTTCCAATAGGGGGGATCAATGCTGACAAGCAGACTCGTCACATTAACACGTGGCTTTGGGACTAGTGCAACAGACAGAACTTTGGGTTTGTTGATCATGGGAAGGTCTACGTGACGCCAGGCCTGCTGTCACCAGATGGTATGCGCCTCTCTCAGAGAGGGATAAGGATTTTTGCTCAGGAGATAGGGCTTTAAACTAGAGTTGAAGGGGGAAAGGGATAAAACCAGGCACGCCGGTGATGAGCTAAGGGATGGTGTGCTAGAATCAGAGGGACTGTGTGCTAGTGAGGTCCTTCGGTCGGCTTCATAAGGTGCTGTTTGTAGAGAAGCACATTTGAAGTGCTTCTACACAAACATACACAGTATGAGGAATAAAATGGATGAGCTAGAAGTCTTGGCTCAGTCCCACAGCTACAACATCATTGGCATAAGCGAAATCTGGTGGGATGAGTCCTGTGGCTGCTGTGCTACAATAGATGGTTACAGGCTCTTCAGGAGGGACAGGCAGGGTGGATGGGGTGGTGATGTATGTGAAGCATGAGCTGGACTGTGGAACTTCAAGTTGGGAATGGCAAAGTTGACAGCCTCTGGGTAAGGATTAAGGGATGAACAAATAAAGGGGATATTGCTGTGGGAGTCTATTAAAGACCACCTGGCCAGGACAACAATGCCAATGAATTATTCTTTGCAGAACTAAGAGACGCCTCGAGATCAACTTCCCTTGTCCTTATGGGAGATTTCAACTTGCCAGATGTCAACTGGGATCAACACACAGCTGACACAAACGAGTCCAAGAGGTTCATAAAGCACCTAGATGATAACTTCTTGGTGCAGGTGCTAAGGGAGCCAACTAGGAAAGGTGCCCTCCTTGATCTGTCGCTGGAAAACAGAGAGGGTCTTGTGGGAGACATGGCAATTGGCGGCCATCTCGGTCGTAGTGACCATGAAGTGGTTGAGTTTAGAATTTATGGTGACAGAAGGAAAACTGCCACCAAAACTTCAGCCCTGGATATGGGGAAAGCAGACTTCAGGCTGCTCGGGGAACTAGTCAGCAAGGTCCCCTGAGAAACTGCTTTTGATGGCATTGGCGTCCATCAGCACTGGTCATTCTTTAAGCACTGCCTCCTAAAAGCACAAGATCAGGCAATTCCAAAATATCGGAAGGCAGACAGGAAGGGCAGAAGGCCGGCCTGGCTGACCAGGGATCTTCTACTGGAGCTTAGATGGAAAAAGAAAGTGTACAGCTGCTGGAAGGAGAGTCAGGTGACAAGGAAGGAATGCAGGGATTCTGTTTGTGTTTGTAGGGAGAAAATTTGTGTGGCCAAAGCCCAACTAGAATTGAAGCTGACCATGTCTGTGGGCGACAATAAAAAAGGTTTTTTTTTAGATAGGTGAACAGAAAAAGGAGAACCAAATAAAACATAGGTCTGCCACATGTTGGGGAAGGTCTCCTCACAATGACATAGGAAAAGCAGAGGCATTTAATGCCTTCTTTGCCTCTGTCTTCAACACTGATGACAAGCTTCAGGACCCAGGGTGCCCAGAGCTGGAGGACCATGACGGTGGGAATGCTAAATTCCCAATTGACACTGAACATGTGCAGGACTTGCAGCTCCACCTGGATCCATACAAGTCCATGGGTCTGGATGGGATTCATTCCAGGGTGCTTAAAGAGCTGGCTGACATCATCACAAGACTTTCTCAATTATTTTTCAATGATCTTGGGAATCTGGAGAGGTTCCAGTAGACTGGAAGCTGGCAAATGTTGTGCCAATTTTCAAGAAGGGAAAGAAAGAAGACCCTAACAATTACAGGCCTGTCAGTCTCACGTCAGTGCCTGGTAAAATTATGGAGAAGATGATCCTTGAAGTTATTGACACGCACCTGGGGGACAATGCAGCCATTGATCCCATCCAACATGGGTTCGTGAGGGGTAGGTCCTGCCTAACAAATTTGATTTCCTTTTATAATAACATCACCCATCTAGTTGACCAAGGGAAACCAGCTGATGTGATCTTTTTGGACTTCAGCAAAGCTTTTGACACGGTTTCCCGTAGGATCCTACTGGACAAAATGTCCAGCATACAACTTAACAAAAACATCATACGATGGGTGAGCAATTGGCTGATGGGCAGGGCTGAAAGGGTTGTGGTAAATGGGGCCACATCTGGTTGGTGGATGGTCACTAGTGGAGTCCCCCAAGGCTCCATTTTAGGGCTAGTCCTCTTCAATGTTTTTATAAATGATTTGGATGTAGGACTAGAAGGCTTTTTGAGCAAATTTGCCGATGACACCAAACTTGGAGGGGTTGTGGACTCTGATGAGGGTGGAAAGGCCTTGCAGAAAGATCTGAACAGATTGGAGAGCCGGGTGATCACCAACCACATGAAGTTTAACAAAAGCAAGTGCCAGGTCCTGCACCTGGGACGGGGCAACCCTGGCTATACGTACAGCCTGGTCGATGAGACTCTGGAAAGCAGCCCCACAGAGAGGGATCTGAGGGTTGTGGTTGACAGCAAGTTGAATATGAGCCAGCAGTGTGCCCTGGCAGCCAGGAAGGCCAAGCGTATCCTTGGATGCATCAAGCACGGCATCACTAGTCGGTCAAGGGAAGTGATTGTCACACTGTACTCTGCGCTGGTGTGGCCTCATCTTGAGCGCTGTGTACAGTTCTGGGCACCACAGTATAAAAAGGACATTAAACTGTTGGAGAGTGTCCAGAGGAGGGCAACAAAGATAGTGAAGGGCCTAGAGGGGAAGATGTATGAGGAGCAGCTGAGGTCACTGGGCCTGTTCAGCCTGGAGAAGAGGAGGCTGAGGGGGGGACTACAACTTCCTCACGAGGAGGAGTGGAGAAGCAGGTGACCTATTCTCCGTAATCACCAGTGATAGGACCCGCAGGAATGGTGTTAAGCTGAGGCAGGGGATATTTAGGCTATACATCAGGAAGAGGTTCTTCACCGAGAGGGTGGTC